TCTTCAAATTTGGTGACAGCATACATTGGGGGATTACGCAGACACCAGTTGATTTTGGGTGACCTTGACCTTATCTTCAAGGTCACCACGACACTTTTCACACTTTTAACTCTTGTTAACGCGATATCTCATGGACTGTTGTACCCAATGTCTTCAAATTTGGTGACAGTTTACATTGGGGGAGTACGCAAACACCAGTTTATTTGGGTGACCTTGACCTTATCTTCAAGGTCACCACGATACTTTGACCGCTTTTTAAAGGCGATATCTCATAAAACATTGCACCCAATGTTTTCAAGTATGTTGACAGCCTACATTGGGTGATTATACAGACACCAGTCATATCAGGCATCTTGTATGTGACCCAAAAATATAAAGTAGTAAATATAGATATTCCATTTTTTAGCGGCGGGGGACATTGACATATCAGTGGCAAACACTTGTTTGTCTTCCTGTTTTCAACAATAGAAAAGTTTGATGTAGCAGACTGAGGTCTCTTGGAATAATGAATTAGGCTGTACGAGGGACCTCCTACATGCATATCTACTTAGAGCACCACATATATCATCGGCTCTTGGGAAGTCAGAGTAGGATGTTCCGCATCCCTGCTGTCACAAAGGTTCCGCACCTTCTGTATCCCATGCTGTAGGTTCATTAATACTTTTTTATGAAATGTCAACATGACCAGTTGACTCTGGACGATGCTCATGCCTTCAGTCACCAGCTGGTCCAGACTTGACCACGTACAGGCCATCACTGCATGTGTTCATATTGGTGACGTGTATTATCTACAGGCAGGGCAACTGACTTCTTCTATTCACAGTTTTCCAGCATATATACTTACATGATTCAAAGCAAATGTAAGTCAAATTGAACAGCCAAACTGTTTCCATGGATACCTGTAAGAAGTAATATGCTTCAATACTACTTGTTTTATCAATAAAGAACAGGTGCACACATTCACTGTACTACAGTAATCACCTGTTTTTGCTCAAAGTATTTATAACATTTCTTGTGAATGTATATCTTTATAGCCAGCTCCAGTTGAACTTGTTTTTCATGCAGTAACACAATCTTAAACTAGTGCCAATTAACTAAGGCGAACTCTGAAACTTTCAAATTGATGAATGATGAAACGTTATGTTCTGTTATGAATTACACCAGTGGCGATATGTTTCCGTACATTTGATCCGGGAATGTAATGTTTTGATGGGACGATCACTATACTGCAGTTGGTCGCAGTCCGAGGAACCTGTGGATAGGTTTAAAATATATAATACAAATGAAGGATATTTTGGGAGGTTACAAGTTTACCAAAGCACACCGACATTGTGTAAGGTTAGAGATGCCCATCGTAATACAGATCTATTGAATAGTTTTTAACCATCTCAGTACTAGTGAGTAGTGTTTCTCATATAATGTAACAATACTATTGTAATCATGTTTTTATCCATTAATACTACTACAGCTATGGTTGAGATGCCTCAGTAATTGCCTCTATCTGTTGATGAGTCAGGTGAATGAACACAACATTCTTTTGATGATGGTGATTCTGAATAGATGATGATGATGGTGATTCTGAATAGATGATGATGGTGGTGATTCTGAATAGATGATGATGGTGGTGATTCTGAATAGATGATGATGGTGGTGATTCTGAATAGATGATGATGATGGTGATTCTGAATAGATGATGATGATGGTGGATTCTGAATAGATGATGATGGTGGTGGATTCTGAATAGATGATGATGATGATGGTGATTCTGAATAGATGATGATGATGGTGATTCTGAATAGATGATGATGATGGTGATTCTGAATAGATGATGATGATGGTGATTCTGAATAGATGATGATGATGGTGATTCTGAATAGATGATGATGATGGTGATTCTGAATAGATGATGATGATGGTGATTCTGAATAGATGATGATGGTGGTGATTCTGAATAGATGATGATGATGGTGATTCTGAATAGATGATGATGATGGTGATTCCTGAATAGATGATGATGATGATGATGATTCTGAATAGATGATGATGATGAGTGATTCTGAATAGATGATGATGATCCGAATAGATGATGATGATGATCTAGAATAGATGATGGTGGTGATTCTGAATAGATGATGATGATGATGGATGATTCTGAATAGATGATGATGATGGTGATTCTGAATAGATGATGATGATGGTGATTCTGAATAGATGATGATGATGGTGGTGGTTCTAGAATGATGGATGATGATGATGATGAGTGGTGATTCTGAATAGATGATGATGGTGGTGAATAGATGATGGTGAATGATTCTGAATGATGATGATGGTGATTCTGAATAGATGATGATGGTGGTGATTCTGAATAGATGATGATGATGGTGATTCTGAATAGATGATGATGATGGTGATTCTGAATAGATGATGATGGTGGTGGTTCTGAATAGATGATGATGGTGGTTCTGAATAGATGATGATGGTGGTGATTCTGAATAGATGATGATGGTGGTGATTCTGAATAGATGATGATGGTGGTGATTCTGAATAGATGATGATGGTGGTGATGATGATGTGCCATGCTTCTCAGACACTCTGCCAGTGGGTCTGACTGATTTAGCTGTTGTAAGTTGAATGTTTTTTAAGTAGAGAGGGATCGTCTGTGGCATGCACCTGGTGAGAAGTGTTGCACCTTTACAGACAAAGGGGAGACACGACACCTGTTTCATTTACAGGTAAGGTCAGAGGTCACACTGTTTGAAGACGGAGGATGTCACATGAGGTCATTTGTCACCCACTGGTGGTGAAGAAGGTCAGGTCTTGCAGAGACAACTCCAGGCATTGCTTGACCTTTCCTTCATCACTGATGATGCCATGTTGACAGGGATGGGATGTATTTTTAGGTTTAAGATGAGACATGACATTCTGTCTTGTTTTTGTGCCTTGATGATTGTTATGTTGTATGGTGTGTATGTATTAGGCCAGTCATGATGACGTGTGGTTTAGGGGAGGGCAGGGTGGTGTGTAAGGCACCTCCTGACTACTGGGTGTGACTGTTGGAGTACCATGCAACCAGCCTTCACAGGAACTGAATATGACACAAACACAATGGGAGGCACATAGACACAATATGACACAATGGTAGGAACATTATACAATGTTACACAATGGTAGGAACATAGACACAATATGACACAATGGTAGGAACATAGACACAATGAGAGGAACATAGACACAATATGACACAATGGTAGGAACATAGACACAATGGTAGGAACATAGACACAATGTTACACAATGGTAGGAACATAGACACAATGGTAGGAACATAGACACAATATGACACAAACACAATGGTAGGAACATAGACACAATGTTACACAAACACAATGGTAGGAACATAAACACAATATGACACAAACACAATGGTAGGAACATAGACACAATGGTAGGAACGTAGACACAATGTTACACAATGGTAGGAACATAGACACAATATGACACAAACACAATGGTAGGAACATAGACACAATGTTACACAAACACAATGGTAGGAACATAGACACAATATGACACAAACACAATGGTAGGAACATAGACACAATGTTACACAATGGTAAGAACATAGACACCATGTTACACAATGGTAGGAACGTAGACACAATGTTACACAATGGTAGGAACATAGACACAATATGACACAAACACAATGGTAAGAACATAGACACAATGTTACACAATGGTGGGCAGGTATGACTGTTGTGAACACAATGACACAGGGTACAGAAATGTGTAGGTGCCGTGGCTGTGTGTGACGATCACCAGATCAACACTGTCACTGCCTGGTGCATGGGGGCTATCAGTGTTCAACATCTATGGGGTGGTCACCTGCTTGTGATGGATTCAATGTAAAACCTTCAGGCATGTTTCAGTTAGCAGCATGTTCCACCTGAACAAGTTTGAGACATTCATGCACTGATAATAGGATGAGTGAGGAAGTGTCCCGGTGTAGTGGATGGGATTTGCTGGTCATGTGTGAGCTTCATGACCTGTCGTAAAGCGATATTTAGGTTGTGATGTGACAGCACTAGAACACCATGTGAAGGAGGTATAACCTAACTGAGAGAACATTGTGTACCTGTCGTAAACTTGGGTCATTACACTAGGCAATAGCATGACCTATGTCACAGATATATTTAACGGTACATTTATGTCCCAATTGCGTTCCATAATAAGTCACTCTGTCTTACACAGTATATACCTGATGAATGACAAGAAGTAGCCCCGAAACTATGCTACAAACAGGAGTTAATAGCCTTAAAAGTCTCATGCCTCAAAAGTCTATCCTACTTTAAGTGCATGTTAATATCTAGTTTAATGTCTGCAGCTTGCGGAACTTTAAATATGTCAACAACAGGTTGTGGTATACTCCAGGGAATCAAGTAGCAATATTTAATGGGAGAGAGCCTTCAGCTGTGAACATTTTATTCATCAGTAAACACTATTTTATCATTCATTTTCAAGCTGTGTAATATGTCTTCCTGGACTTGCTGTTCAGGCTCCAACTCCAGTGATGGTCTGACGTTTATGGGTCTCCTACTTTCACAGCCCTATATTTTGGTAATCATGAAGTTAGGGTAGCCGTTCACTGCTCTCACTAATTCTGAACTTCTGAGTTTGGGTCCTGTATTGATGATATAATGAACTCCCTGATTGCGAAGGTTGGGGATGACTTAGTTTGATGTGAATGACAGCTGGAGCACAGTTAGGTGTCCAGTATCACATGCTGGTCGTTACAGGCTACTGATGGGTTTGGGTCGTCTGACTCGCTGACTTGGTTGATGAAGGTCATTGTGTCCCTGTTGTATAAATAGATGCTCATGATGTCAGTCACTGGATTGGTTGGCCCGGATTTGATAATCTACAGACCACTGGCATATAGTTGGAATATTCCTCAGTCAAGCATTAAACAAACAAATAAACATATATCTTTGTTGTTTCAGGGATTGTTGAAACTGTCGACTCAGCTGCTCAAGAGGGAATTCCCGTCACAGCCAGACATAATTAGTGAGGATGGACTGGAACATAAGTAAGTTGTCTCGCTTTGCTGCAGGTTGCATTTAACTTGCACAGAGTTATTAATTATTTCAACTACTAATGTCTAGAACTGATTACCAATCATATTAACTTCCCATTGTGCTGTTAACAAATTGAAAACTGAACTTAATCAAAACATGTGTCCATGAAAGAATGTCCAAAGACAGTAGCTTTTAAGTATACAGTCTTCCTAATTGACTAAACTCAATTTTTGTGTTTATTTGTTTGAAGTGAAGATATTTGCAGTTTAATGTTCATAAATATACGTCCTGTTTTTCTGATGTAACATGTGAGATATGATTAACGTTTGAGGCTATGTTCCGTTAATGCTGTCAGCTACTCGGACGGAAGGTAGGTGGCGTCATCCTTCACCATCGTCTAGTCACTAGCTCTCTCTGTACACGCACCTGCTGGACATGTTGGTCACGTGACTTCTACATCACTGCTTATTTTTATTATTTTCAGTTGGTAGTTTGGAACATGAATCAGGAAATGTTCTAGTTATCGCCATTTGCTTCAACAGCCCTTATTGCCTCTACGCCATTATAAGTTTGTTTGTTTTTTTGTAGTTCTGGCAAATGTGTTTCTTCATGTGGCATGTTCTCCTCTCTATTACACTGTAAGAAGGTGTCGACAACAGTGGTTGCTGAAATACATCAAATGGCCTCATTATAACACACATCCACTGTCCCATCCAAAGGGGCAATGGGGTAGCCCAGTGATTAAAGCGTCCGCTTGTCATGTGTGAAGCCCATTTCGGTCGTCCCTTGCCGCGATATTGCTGGAATATTGCTAAAAGCAGCGTAAAACTGTACTCACTCACTCATTCACCCCTTCCAAAAAAAAACAATGCAAAGATTTTCAATATAGGGTATGAAATAAAGAACTTAATTACTAATCAGTGATTATTGGGAATAAATGGCTTTTGTGTTGTATAAGAAGCCACTTTCTTATGTCCAAGGTGCGATAGCTGTAACACTGACGAGGCGTAAAACAACATAACCCCTGGTTGCCAGGCCCATACTCCCTTATGTCCAAGGTGCGATAGCTGTAATACTGACGAGGCGTAAAACAACATAACCCCTGGTTGCCAGGCCCATACTCCCTTATGTCCAAGGTGCGATAGCTGTAATACTGACGAGGCGTAAAACAACATAACCCCTTGTTGCCAGGCCCATACTCCCGTATGTCCAAGGTGCGATAGCTGTAATACTGGCCAGGCGTAAAACAACATAACCCTGGTTACCAGACCCATACTCCCTTATGTCCAAGGTCGCGATAGCTGTAATACTGACGAGGGCGTAAAACAACATAACCCCTGGTTACCAGACCCATACTCCCTTATGTCCAAAGTGCAATAGCTGTAATGCTGACGAGGTAAAACAACATAACCCCTTGTTGCCAGGCCCATACTCCCTTATGTCCAAGGTCGCGATAGCTGTAATACTGACGAGGCGTAAAACAACATAACCCCTGTTACCAGACCCATACTCCCTTATGTCCAAAGTGCAATAGCTGTAATACTGGCGCAGGCGTGTAAAACAACATAACCCCTTGTTGCCAGGCCCATACTCCCTTATGTCCAAGGTGCGATAGCTGTAATACTGACGAGGCGTGAAAACAACATAACCCCTTGTTGCCAGGCCCATACTCCCTTATGTCTAAGGTGCGATAGCTGTAATGCTGACGAGTAAAAAAAACAACATAACCCCTTGTTGCCAGGCCCATACTCCCTTATGTCTAAGGTGCGATAGCTGTAATGCTGACGAGGCGTAAAACAACATAACCCCTGGTTACCAGACCCATACTCCCTTATGTCCAAAGTGCGATAGCTGTAATACTGACGGTAAAAAACAACATAACCCCTTGTTGCCAGGCCCATACTCCCTTATGTCTAAGGTGCGATGGCTGTAATGCTGACGAGGCGGTAAAACAACATAACCCCTTGTTGCCAGGCCCATACTCCCTTATGTCCAAGGTGCGATGGCTGTAATACTGACGAGGTAAAAACAACATAACCCCTTGTTGCCAGGCCCATACTCCCTTATGTCTAAGGTGCGATAGCTGTAATGCTGACGAAGTGCGAAAACAACATAACCCCTTGTTGCCAGGCCCATACTCCCTTATGTCTAAGGTGCGATAGCTGTAATGCTGACGGCGAAAACAACATAACCCCTTGTTGTCAGGCCCATACTCCCGTTATGTCCAAGGTCGCGATAGCTGTAATACTGATGAGCTGTAAAACAACATAACCCCTGGTTGCCAGGCCCATACTTCCTTATGTCCAAGGTGCGATAGCTGTAATACTGACGAGTAAAACAACATAACCCCTTGTTGCCAGGCCCATACTCCCTTATGTCTAAGGTCGCGATAGCTGTAATGCTGACGGTAAAACAACATAACCCCTTGTTGCCAGGCCCATACTCCCTTATGTCTAAGGTCGCGATAGCTGTAATGCTGACGAGTAAAACAACATAACCCTTGTTACCAGACCCATACTCCCTTATGTCTAAGGTCGCGATGGCTGTAATGCTGGCGAGGCGCGAAACAACATAACCCCTTGTTGCCAGGCCCATACTCCCTTATGTCCAAGGTGCGATAGCTGTAATACTGACGAAAAAACAACATAACCCCTTGTTGCCAGGCCCATACTCCCTTATGTCTAAGGTCACGATAGCTGTAATGCTGGCGAAGTAAAACAACATAACCCTGGTTACCAGACCCATACTCCCTTATGTCCAAGGTGCGATAGCTGTAATAATTGACGAGGCGTAAACAACATAACCCCTGGTTGCCAGGCCCATACTTCCTTATGTCCAAGGTGCGATAGCTGTAATACTGACGAGGCGTGAAAAACAACATAACCCCTTGTTGCCAGGCCCATACTCCATAAGGGTGCGATAGCTGTAATGCTTATGTCCAGGCCCATACTCCCTTATGTCCAAGGTGCGATGGCTGTAATACTGACGAGGGCGTAAAAAACAACATAACCCCTTGTTTGCCAGGCCCATACTCCCTTATGTCTAAGGTGCGATGGCTGTAATGCTGACCCATACTCCCTTATATGTCTAAGGTGCGATGGCTGTAATGCTGGACGAGGGCGTAAAACAACATAACCCCTTGTTGCCAGGCCCATACTCCCTGTAATCCCAGGGTCGCGATAGCTGTAATACTGGCCAGGCGTAAAACAACATAACCCTTGTTGCTGGGCCCATACTCCTTATGTCTAAGGTCGCGATGGCTGTAATGCTGACTAGTGATAAAACAACATAACCCTGGTTACCAGACCCATACTCCCTTATCCAAAGGTCGCGATAGCTGTAATACTACTGACGAGGCGAAACAACATAACCCTGGTTGCCAGGCCCATACTTCCTTATGTCCAAGGTAGCGATAGCTGTAATACTGACGGCGCGAAAACAACATAACCCCTTGTTGCCAGGCCCATACTCCCTTATGTCTAAGGTGCGATAGCTGTAATGCTGATTGGCGATAAAACAACATAACCCCTTGTTGCCAGGCCCATACTCCCTTATGTCCAAGGTGCGATAGCTGTAATGCTGACGGTGAGTAAAACAACATAACCCCTTGTTGCCAGGCCCATACTCCCTTATGTCTAAAGGTGCGATGGCTGTAATGCTGACGAGTAAAACAACATAACCCCTTGTTGCCAGGCCCATACTCCTTATGTCTAAGGTCGCGATGGCCCATGACGAGTAAAACAACATAACCCCTTGTTGTCAGTACCCCATTATGTCCAAGTCGCGATAGCTGTAATACTGATGAGCTGTAAAACAACATAACCCCTTGTTGCCAGGCCCATACTTCCTTATGTCCAAGGTGCGATAGCTGTAATACTGACGAGGCGTAAAACAACATAACCCCTTGTTGTCAGGCCCATACTCCCGTATGTCCAAGGTGAGATAGCTGTAATACTGATGAGCTGTAAAACAACATAACCCCTGGTTGCCAGGCCCATACTCCCTTATGTCCAAGGTGCGATAGCTGTAATACTGACGAGGCATAAAACAACATAACTCCTGCCCAGATGCAGTCCTGTCGACAAGAGAGGTTGTGTAAATGGAATGTGAACCTCCATCAACTTCGGGGTCACCCGCCATGTGATGTCATCACAGCTATGATAAGATTCCCACAATATCTCTCATTTCCAAGCAGCAAATATCTCTTGATTTTCTTCATCTGAAGCGAATTCCAAGAATAATGGACTCCCATCCTCCGCCACCGTATTTGTGGTGTTTGTGTCGGCCTGTGATGGAACCTCGCAGACACGAGTTCAACACATGAAACCTCATCATCAATAGTTAAAATTTCATTTAAGAAGATAAAAAGGTGCTGAATTGATTATCTGTCTTTTGATCGCTCAGAGATTAGACTGAAACAACAAAAAACATTAAATCCTTATCAACATTTTATACACTGCTCGGAAACCTCCTCTACGGGTAGAAAATTCAAGCCATCATTTCAAATATTGATGAAGTTTCAAAAAAGAGAATAAACTGCAACAATTTAATGAGATTAATATATATCAGGCAATGTAATAGTTTTAGGTGAGCTGATGGGGAAGTAGCATGTGGAGGTTGCACTGGGAAATTGGGTTTTCATGAACATGTTGGATCATTGCCTGTGTTGTGATGACAAGGACGAGGATTAAGACCACTTTCCCCAAACCATTCCTTGATTGTCTGGAGCATCAGTGTGCGAAATCGTTTCCAAATTTTGCTAGCCAGTCGGGCTAGCTATGCCTGAAAGTTACAAGCCCACAAAATAATTGACTAGCCCAAAATTTGAATGTGGAAACTAAGCAAAAGATTACAAAAAGGTAAAATGCCATCATTTATCAGGCCATGATCTTGCATGATTTAAAAGTGTATTATAACTGAACAAGTCATATATTTTAAATATGACCCCATGGAAATTCACTAGCCAGTCGGGCCAGTGACTGTGGAGATTTACTGGCCCGACTGGATTTTTACTAGCTATGGGCTAGCGGGCCAGTCGCTATTTCGCCCACTGATGAGTATACAGTGTGGTAACAGGGCTTGTGTTTCCTGTGGGAAAAAATCGGAAATATGTATTTCCTTGATGTCCTTGCATGGAAAGTACTTTTATGGATAATCAAACGGGAATTAACTGTAACTCAAATGGCGTGTCCTCCTCTACTGTAGTACTACACATTGACAACCACTTTCCAGTGTCATCCTGACTAACTCCCTCAGGACCCAGACCATCAGGTCTTGTAATTTGCTCTTAAAGGTTTTCTTTAGTAGTTCTTTGAGAATAGTTGTAAGAAAATAGCATCTATCAATTGCTATAACATTCTGCCATGTACAATTTTGGTTTTTGCTTTGTATTTTTATGTTATTTTTAGCTGACATTTATCTTGTGATTCATTATGCAGTTGTTTCAGAATGTAGCGTCTGTCAAATCCAATTATTTCCTGCATTGCACATTTTCCTTTTTTATTCCACTTTTTAATATTTTTTGTTTGTTTTCTGATTACTTGTGATGAGACTTGTTGGCTGTCTGGGGAGACTAGGTCCCCTGCTAGCTTGTGTGAGGCAGATAGAAGGAACAGGTGATGAGACTTGTGGGCTGTCTGGGGAGACTAGGTCCCCTGCTAGCTTGTGTGAGGCAGATAGAAGGAACAGGTGATGAGACTTGTGGGCTGTCTGGGGAGACTAGGTCCCCTGCTAGCTTGTGTGAGGCAGATAGAAGGAACAGGTGATGAGACTTGTTGGCTGTCTGGGGAGACTAGGTCCCCTGCTAGCTTGTGTGAGGCAGATAGAAGGAACAGGTGATGAGACTTGTGGGCTGTCTGGGGAGACTAGGTCCCCTGCTAGCTTGTGTGGGAGGCAGATAGAAGGAACAGGTGATGAGGACTTGTTGGCTGTCTGGGGAGACTAGGTCCCCTGCTAGCTTGTGTGAGGCAGATAGAAGGAACAGGTGATGGGACTTGTGGGCTGTCTGGGGAGACTAGGTCCCCTGCTAGCTTGTGTGAGGGCAGATAGAAGGAACAGGTGATGAGACTTGTGGGCTGTCTGGGGAGACTAGGTCCCCTGCTAGCTTGTGTGAGGCAGATAGAAGGAACAGGTGATGAGACTTGTTGGCTGTCTGGGGAGACTAGGTCCCCTGCTAGCTTGTGTGAGGCAGATAGAAGGAACAGGTGATGAGACTTGTTGGCTGTCTGGGGAGACTAGGTCCCCTGCTAGCTTGAGATGAGGCAGATAGAAGGAACAGGTGATGAGACTTGTTGGCTGTCTGGGGAGACTAGGTCCCCTGCTAGCTTGTGTGAGGCAGATAGAAGGAACAGGTGATGAGACTTGTTGGCTGTCTGGGGAGACTAGGTCCCCTGCTAGCTTGTGTGAGGCAGATAGAAGGAACAGGTGATGAGACTTGTGGGCTGTCTGGGGAGACTAGGTCCCCTGCTAGCTTGTGTGAGGCAGATAGAAGGAACAGGTGATGAGACTTGTTGGCTGTCTGGGGAGACTAGGTCCCCTGCTAGCTTGTGTGAGGGCAGATAGAAGGAACAGGTGATGGGACTTGTGGGCTGTCTGGGGAGACTAGGTCCCCTGCTAGCTTGTATGAGGGCCGATAGAAGGAACAGGTGATGAGACTTGTTGGCTGTCTGGGGAGACTAGGTCCCCTGCTAGCTTGTGTGAGGCAGATAGAAGGAACAGGTGATGAGACTTGTTGGCTGTCTGGGGAGACTAGGTCCCCTGCTAGCTTGTATGAGGCAGATAGAAGGAACAGGTGATGAGACTTGTTGGCTGTCTGGGGAGACTAGGTCCCCTGCTAGCTTGAGATGTGACAGGTGATTGTGCTCATGATATCGATCACTGATTTCACGATTTATTGCTGAAATATTAGTGCAACATAAGACAAGAAAATATTTTAATTGGAGATAGAAAAGCATTTTTGCTCTGTAAAAAATGAAAACAAAAAAACACCTGTGACAGTTTTCTGGGAATCTCCATCTCGTTTCCAAGGTTAATTCTTGTGCTTGTATCTGATGTGGAAAGTATGTGTTCTAGTGGTAAGTCATTAAAAAGAGGTTTGTATTTTGGTTCAATTTTTTTATTATTAAAGGCCATTCAGAGTTGTACAACTCAACTAATAATCCTGCATTGTACATTGTGACATTGTTTCCACTGTACTGATATAAACTGATAATGGAATACTCTAACCAGTGCTGTACCGCCCACTGTTCATCATCTCTCTGTGGGTGTTAGTTGTTGAATGTACATGGCAGTATCCAGTGGTTTGGAAGCCCCATGTGCTGCTCACATCACCTCCATAATGATGGAGAGAGGGACTCTCCTTGCAAGTCTATAAAATTTTGCAATTCTAGATTATTGCAGCTTTAAGCTGAAAACTAAGTCTTGTGGAATCTTGTTATTTCATTTTATTAAGCTAACTTAACCAATAGTATATTTCTGTAAAATATGACTATTTTAGACTGAGTTAGGAGGATGTTACGCCGCTTTTAGCAATATTCCAGCAATATCACAACGGGGACACCATAAATGGGCTTTACCCAAGTGGGGAATCGAACCAGGGTTTTCGGCATGACGAGCGTAATGCGCTTTAACCTCTAGGCTACCCCACCACCTCTGTTCAGTTTAGAGACTTGATGTTTTGGGCACATCAGAAATTGCTTTGCACATTTTTTTTATCAGGACTGACATAAGGTACTAGAAATAGAGGAATCTTCTATATCTTCACCAAAACATTTACTATGAAATACATCCACAAGGAGCCCAGAACAAGTCTTAATTTTGGTGAGTTGAGGCAATTTAGTCTTGCAGAATCTTTCTAGAATTGGACTCATTCTTAATATATCATGTAGGGTGCTGGAAGCAGATTTAATGTATCCTTTGATGTAGCTAGCATTGCTTCAACAACTGGACGACCCGACTAACCCTTGTTCAGAGTAGTCACCACCATTATCAACAGCATCTATGTGTTCCACAGATCACACAGTTGAGTTGGCCATGACGTATTGACGCTGTATCGGCTGCCCGGGATGTAGATAAACTGCCAATGTTAGCTTGACACTGGAGCTCTAGGCAAACAAAATCAATTGGGCTCCATCATAATTGTGATTAATCATAATGAATAAGTCAGTTTGTTTATTTTGTGTATTGTATCTGGGTGCAGTGGGGATGTATTTTCCCAGTTGTCAGGAAACTCTCATCACAAGGATCAGACAGGTCGGAGTACATTCTCGGCTTCATGCACACCAAGCTACATGCTATCAGATGAATCTTCTCAGAGATGTATATTTATTTGGTTTTGAAAAACACTCACTGAATGTCCTGTTTGGTCGATATCTTTTTATTGCTGCATCCACTTGATTGGAAATATCGATGGACAGTTAGATAAATAAGCAAATTAACGCTGGCCGAGTTCCCCGGCTGTGACCCAGGGTGCTCTTGTTGAGAGGCAGTTTGTCAATAGTGTCGCAGGACCTGATGAGATCAATCACTAGCGCCGATAGACCCATCAAGCTGTGTGTTCAGTGGTACAGCTGATCCAATTCAGGTGCAGTGCATGAAATACGTTCATAAACACCATGGAAACCAATGTCACCCTGCAGTGTAATCTGGAGGAATTCATCACATCGTATATCAACGCCTTGAAGGTGTTGGTGATGAAGTTAGCCAACATATCAGTACATATTGGGAAGCCTTTGGCTCCAGTTAAATGGGTTTTTTCTACTGGACATTAATTTTGCATCTGTGATTGTACAAATGGAAATGTCTGTGTTTCTATTTTAAGAAGCTTTTATCTAAAGGTTTAAGGAGGAATATTTGTCTAAGTTGTCTAAGCAAGAAAACCGTAAGATTCTTAACTGCCAAGGTGTAATGGTTCCTTGTTGCATGGCTTGTTGTAATGAAATGTTGGTATTGCAGATTCTATGCAATAACTGTGTTCAGATAGGATGGTAGGGAGAAATATCTGTGCAGGGATAGAAATGCAATATTTTTAGGGGTGCCATAGGGCACCAGACAGATCATTTAGATGTGCCTTTTGGAAAGTCAGTGTGCCCTTTCCATGATCCAATTAAACTAAAAACATTAAAACAATTATATCATTTTGATTTATTGTTTAGTAAACCAGTAAGCATCATGTAAACCTGTAAATCTGGGAGGTGGATTTCCTAAACACTATCAGTGCTGTAGGAATAGTTCAGCTTCATTTGTCCTGGGCCAATAAACGTGCCCACAAACTATGTTATCACCCAAACAGGATTTCCTGTTATGTGTACTAGCATTATGTGTACTAGCAAAATTGCCACACCTATGTTAAGCTGTGAGATTGACAGTGCCACCGATAAACAGTTTGAGGGTGTGCAAAAATAGTCTTTGAATCATTTTAGTTGTTCAAATTTATCGCATTTTCCATTACATGTATATGTGTGTATTATTTTTATAACTTTAGTCATGTTGCCAAGCACTTTGAAAATATTTCATCCGTGCCATGTTAATATTTACCTCTCCTTGGCATGCAATTTATGCATTCATTTTTGTACAAAATAATTCTCATTTAAATATGATGTAGAGTGGCCAAGTGGTTAAAGTGTTCCCCATGCTGGACATAACAGTTTGGATAGCCTGTTCACATGTCTGTTCGCAAGCGAGCATGTGTGACCTTGGATATATGCATCATGAAAACCTTTGATATTCAATTTGGTGTCATAAGTTTGTTTTTTAAACCATTATATACATTGGCATTAACTTGTATATTGTGATGTAATGATAGAAGACCTATTGTGCTGTGAGGGCTGCATATTGTGATGTAATGATAGAAGACCTATTGTGCTGTGAGGGCTGTATATCGTGATGTAATGATAGAAGACCTATTGTGCTGTGAGGGCTGTATATTGTGATGTAATGATAGAAGACCTATTGTGCTGTGAGGGCTGTATATCGTGATGTAATGATAGAAGACCTATTGTGCTGTGAGGGCTGTATATCGTGATGTAATGATAGAAGACCTATTGTGCTGTGAGGGCTGCGTGTTGTGTTGCAGGACTGCCTGTACTGTGTGGCGGCAGATCCTGGAGGAGACAGAGAAGGTGGCCAAGGCTCGGCTCCAGGCAGCTGAGATCTTCATGGAGAAGATAGCAGAGTCAGCCAAGCCTCTCAAAGTGGCCAAAGTCCATAGCATGAAGAAGGTAATTATTGACTGGACTGTGGACTTGGGTCTCCTTGTCTCCTTAAACATAGCTTCAAGAAGGTAGTAATTGAATGGACTGTTCAAGGAAACCCAAGTCCATAGCTTCAAGAAGGTAGTTATTGACTAGACTGTGTTCAAGGTAACCCAAGTCTATAGCTTCAAGGAGGTAATTATTGACTGGACTGTGTACAAGGTGAACCAAGTCCATAGCTTCAAGAAGGTAGTTATTGACTGGACTGTTCAAGGTGACCCAAGTCTATAGCTTCAAGGAGGTAATTATTGACTGGACTGTGTACAAGGTGGACAAAGTCCATACCTTCAAGAAGGTAATTATTGACGAGACTCACAGTGTTCAAGGTGACCCAAGTCTATAGCTTCAAGAAGGTAATTATTGACTGGACTGTGTTCAAGGTGATCCAAGTCCATACCTTCAAGAAGGTAATTATTGACTGGACTGTGTTCAAGGTGATCCAAGTCCATAGCTTCAAGAAGGTAATTATTGACTAGACTGTGTTCAAGGTGACCCAAGTCTATAGCTTCAAGAAGGTAATTATTGACTGGACTGTGTACAAGGTGGACAAAGTCCATACCTTCAAGAAGGTAATTATTGACGAGACTCACAGTGTTCAAGGTGATCCAAGTCTATAGCTTCAAGAAGGTAATTATTGACTGGACTGTGTTCAAGGTGATCCAAGTCTATAGCTTCAAGAAGGTAATTATTGACGAGACTCACAGTGTTCAAGGTGATCCAAGTCTATAGCTTCAAGAAGGTAATTATTGATTGGACTGTGTTCAAGGTGATCCAAGTCTATAGCTTCAAGAAGGTAATTATTGACTGGACTGTGTTCAAAGTGATCCAAGTCTATAGCTTCAAGAAGGTAATTATTGACTGGACTGTGTTCAAGGTGATCCAAGTCTATAGCTTCAAGAAGGTAATTATTGACTGGACTGTGTTCAATGTGACCCAAGTCTATAGCTTCAAGAAGGTAATTATTGACTGGACGGTGTTCAAGGTGATCCAATTATTGACTGGACTGTGTTCAAGGTGATCCAAGTCTATAGCTTCAAGAAGGTAATTATTGACTGGACTGTGTTCAAGGTGACCCAAGTCTATAGCTTCAAGAAGGTAATTATTGACTGGACTGTGTTCAAGGTGATCCAAGTCTATAGCTTCAAGAAGGTAATTATTGACTGGACTGTGTTCAAGGTGATCCAAGTCCATAGCTTCAAGAAGGTAATTATTGACTGGACTGTGTTCAAGGTGATCCAAGTCTATAGCTTCAAGAAGGTAATTATTGACTGGACTGTGTTCAAGGTGATCCAAGCCTATAGCTTCAAGAAGGTAATTATTGACTGGACTGTGTTCAAGGTGCTATAGCTTCAAGAAGGTAATTATTGACTGGACTGTGTTCAAGGTGATCCAAGTCCATAGCTTCAAGAAGGTAATTATTGACTGGACTGTGTTCAATGTGACCCAAGTCTATAGCTTCAAGAAGGTAATTATTGACTGGACTGTGTTCAAGGTGATCCAATTATTGACTGGACTGTGTTCAAGGTGATCCAAGTCTATTCTTCAAGAAGGTAATTATTGACTGGACTGTGTTCAAGGTGATCCAAGTCCATAGCTTCAAGAAGGTAATTATTGACTGGACTGTGTTCAAGGTGATCCAAGCCTATAGCTTCAAGAAGGTAATTATTGACTGGACTGTGTTCAGTTCAATGTGCTATAGCTTCAAGAAGGTAATTATTGACTGGACTGTGTTCAAGGTGATCCAATTATTGACTGGACTGTGTTCAAGGTGATCCAAGTCTATAGCTTCAAGAAGGTAATTATTGACTATGGCATGATTTAAGATAATGAAAACGGTGCTGGAAAAGTGTAGGTTCAATGGCAGGCCAGGAAGCTGCCTGATGAGTGTGGACTGTCAGCTGCCATAGCCTTGTATACTGTGTATAATTACACTGGCATTGTTGATGTTTGGTCTGTGCTGTTGCAGGTGGTGCCACAGTTGTCGACGATACAGACGGAGCTGGCTCAGACAGTGCTGGAGATGACCAAATGTCAGAAGACGTACAACGTGGATGAGACCTACTCACACGAGGCACGGCAGAAGGCAGGGGACGCCGATGACAAGTGAGAACTCTCAGTGTTTGATTTCCTATTTTTTTATCACCTGTAACCAAGTTCAGTGAGGCAGGACTTTTTCTTGATAATGAAATGAATTCGGATACCGACAGGATATTCGGTTTCCGTTTCGGACGGTACATTTTACAAACAAACCGCTAAATCAACACAAAATTGACTCACCTATCCGCGACGAAGCTTTGATCTACCGATAACCGTGTGAAGGGAAGTGCGAGAGTCCCACGTATGTTTTGACACGAGACGTGGTGTCATATATATTATTGTGTCTACCACGGATCAAAACGAAGTGTAGTTGACAGAAAATGCATAATATAGCTTCTCTAAATATCATATTTATTGTAGCAACAAACTGGCTTTGCTTATTTTACCCCATTCAACAATCACAAACTGATTACAGCCTCGTTTTCCATTGACTGCTAGTTTACAGTAACATCGGTAAAAATGTGTGAATTTAAATGGCTTCCGTGTTTTACCCCATTCCATGTGCGCATTAATGCTCATGAGGGTCCGAGATAACCTTAGGGTTGATTATATATATTTTACATAAAAACTGTAAATAAAATTCTTTGGGTTAAATAATAGTATTCTGTATTATATTTTACTGACGACTGCGTCAGAATTCATCCCTGTATATTATTGTGCATGTTTGAACTTGTCCACCTGGTAACGTCACAGCTGATTGCTATTTCCGGCTTTGTCCAAGACAAATACGCGACTGTAATCTTAATCCCTGTCCCAGCAAAACAACTTATAACTTAAAAGGTAAATAATCTTGTCTAGTCGCACCAAAGTCATCTTCTGTCTCTCTGTCCAGTCCAATAAAAGTGCAGTGTGTCGATATTCAAGCCAGTTATGTTGTGATGCTGTTTTTGAATGACTATACATGTATAATAAACGCTTGATGATCATAAATATTTTGGATTTTCCATGAGGTGTATGAAAACCAAAAATCCAGATATCCGGATATTCAATTATCCGGACGATTTACGTAACAACGAATGTGTCCGGATATCCGAGGTCTCACTGTATATGAATTATTTAATCTCAAAATCATCAGTGGAAGATTATTACGCCCATATTGTGATGTGCATGAATATGTGTCTGTTTCTCCTATCCATCTGTCCACCTGTCTCTCTGTCCACCCGTCCATCTGTCCACCCATCTCTGTCCACCCGTCTCTCTGTCCACCCGTCTCTCTGTCCACCTGTCCATCTGTCCACCCGTCTCTCGGTCCACCTGTCCGTCATCTGTTCACGTTTTGGTTTGACACATCCAGATATTGAACCACAATGTGAAAGAACGTACGACTTTGTAATGTGACACATCATTGTATGTCAAAGTATACTTTTTGTGCCAAGAAATCTTTCACCCTGGTTTGAGCCATGACCTTGACCTGTCCTTGCTGCCAAGAAGAACTCAATAGCTATTTGCTTCTGTTCCCAGGTTGAAACGGAAATCAACAGGATTGTTCCAGTCCCTTGCTAGTCTGCAGAAGCAGTGTTCTAAGGTGAGAGAAGGGTAGCCCAGCGGGCAAGGTGGTCACTAATGGCACATACATTGTTTGATTCTTCACAATGTCTCTCTCAGCGATATTGCAACTTCAACGTTTAAAGAAGTGCTGAATCTCGAGCTCTCACACATACGTGAGGCAGCCAGGTCCAGTTGGATTAGAGGCTGATGATGTGGAAAATAATGACAGAAAGTTTAGTTTCAGATTCAACACCCATCTTGTCTTTCAAATCACTTTCTGTCTAGATAGATTTGCGATCATCTATTTCAAATATTTTGTGAAATTGACTATATGTGTCATGCATACTTAGGTTGTGAGATTGATGTCTTGACAACGAGTTGAACATTTCAGTTAAAAAGTCGGTGCGAGGCGTGCGAGGTGAAGTCTACAGTGTCGCGGAATGACTACATCCTGGCACTGTCAGCGGCCAACGCTCACCAGATTCGCTACTACAGCACCGACATGCCTGATCTCACAAAGGTGACGAGATACGATTACTCAAACTTACACAATATGTGACCAGGAATTTACATGTTTCACTCCGTAAATTCAGGTGTGAAGTTAGTTAGTAAGAATGGAATGGATTTTCTGTACATTTACTTTAGTATGGTATCAGTGATGGCCGACAGCTGCATGTACAGCATCATCGATAAAACAGAGGCTGTTTCAGAACCAGTGATGTCTGAATCTCCAGTCAATGTAAACATGGTTCAAGGTCCATGTAATATCCCTGCCCTGTATTCCCTTGTTGGTAACGATATGTCGAATACCATACTGGCTTGGTGCAGTCGTAATTGGGAAACACAAAGTAACTGGGATGTCAGAATTAATCCTCACATACATAAATGTTACTATGTGTTATCGCTGTAGTAACATGGCAATAAGCAGGAATGACACATGGGCAGGAAATTACAAATTATGCTAATGCAAGTATGTATACAAGACTGACTGACTGAGTATTGTTTTATGCCGCTTTTAGCAATCTTCCTGTAATACCACGGCGGGGGACACCAGAAATGGGCTTCACACATTGTACCCATGTGTGGATTTGAACCTGTGCCTCTGGCGTGATGAGCGAACGCTTTAACCACTAGGCTACCCCACCTCCCCTTGTACACAAGAGGTAGTTCATTTTCCTGCTATGATGTGTGGTGTAAATATATTGCTAACACAATCATTTCATGTCAGTGAACCTGACCGCTGGATCCGGATAATTGTTTATTACACAGTGTTTCCAAAGACCAATAATATCCTCAATCTTCATGGGTGATTTAAGAGACAAGTACATTGTATTAGAGGATAGGTATTCAAGAAACTTGTCATTTGTGTTAGGGAAATGCTAGCCATGCTTGCCGATCCTGGCACCAAGGGGGGATACAGACCCTGTCAGTGACTCCAGCTGCCTGCGTTAGGGTTACTTGTGCCGGGAAACAGGCCGATTTTGTTTATTTTGTATTGCATGCTGATGTTGTATTGTTTGGTTGCCTAGTGACGTGAAACTGTCAACTGTCAATCTTTTATCCCACCACATGTCTACCTTATCTGACTCAGAATAACATTGAGGTAAATTTTGAATTAATTAGCACTTCCAAGCTACCAACATAGCATCTCTTCTCGTGGTTAACCACAGAGGATTGCGAACAGGAAGTTATTTTGTACATCTGAGAACTTATGAGTTAGTATTGTATTACGCCGCTGTTGGTTGTATTCTTGCATTATCATGGCAGGGGAAACCAGAATCAACAAGACAAGGTAAAGTAAATGAGTATGTGTAAATCTCAAGTGTATGGTGTTATACAAAATTTACAGAATGAAAGTTCAATATTGATCTCTCTAAGAAATTCATGGACAATCTGAACTATTGTATAACAGTGGTAGTGAGATTTTAACAGTATAAACCACTGGCTAACTATTACTGGGGTAGAAGACTGCGTCAGTTTCACGTCACTGTTGATACCTCCTCATGATTATTTCTGCTAACTTCTCATTACCGTGTTTTGTTCAGGGTCTGGACGTAAGTATGATGAACTGTTGTGTGTCGTATGTGTCGGGAACGCAGCGCTATTTTCTTCCTCCTCTATCAGCCATCCCTTACACATGTCATTACCTTTAAGGAGCCCAAGGCCTACTTTATTCATTATTCGGTTTACGGAGTTTTTGCTTACGAGTTTGCTTGGGTTGGTCGATCTGTAAATAGCAACAACATTGTAGGACTCAATATTTTTTTATCTGAAATTTGCAAACAGTTGTGTATGTAGAAGTAATCACGTCGGAACTGGCTTTTTATAAAGGGTTTTTACGTTAAAAGACATTCATGTTTCATTAGTGTAGTTTATCTTTTTCTTTTCCACTCCTTTCAAATCTGATATTAGACAAATATGAATTAAAATTCTGTAATGTTTCTCTATTGTTTTATTTGGTTTGGTTTTTCAAATCATTACAATTTAAAAACCTGTTTTATCAGTGCTATTAATTAACATGATTTGAAATTATATAAATTTCAAATTGATTTTTCGCTTTATTTGTTAATCCAACTGACGTAATTTTCAAATGAAACATTTGAAAAAAGTGGTATGCAGAATGATAATCTGGCTCCTTTTGCCTGAAGATGTTTTCTGATTACGATGTTAGTACCAGGGGTTGACGAAGGGCATCTTGACGGTAATGATTTCCTTGACGATCCAAGAATCCCAAGATTCCGACAGATATGCAGTTAATGCAAGTCATGTAGCTTTGTTATACATCCCATAATTCCTATCTTAAAGTAAAGCCTCAAGACCCCATATAACACATTTCCTAGAATACACTCTCCGTTACATCCAATGTGCACTGTTTTGGTATGAGCTTTAAATACTCAACCTGGAAGATCGATTAAAACATCAGAATTATTCTACAACCATCAATTTCTAAGTTCTACATTGAAATACCAAGATATACAGCAGAGTAATATCAAATGTCACTGTCAGGTGTTCAAGTCAAGGAGATTTCCATACTTCTTTTAACATATTTTTCTTTGCATGGTGGAAGGACAAGATTAAGTTTTCATGTCTTAAGATTAACATGCTTTTTTCTTTCAGTTACATGCTTTGTCATAGTTGAACTTATCGTTATGGGTGATTTTAGTTATGAGTCAAATTAACATGTACGGATTATTGCGGTTTTCAGACTTTTTAGGTAAATCTTAGGGTATTTGGGATGTATGTGTTTTTCTCTTTCTTTGGCTACTGTGTGTATGCAGCTTTGCCCTAGATATATATTCACATGTATACATGTATATAATGTGTCAAATATAGTCTTATTGTGTGTATAGTCACAATATTTTGGTATTTTATTGTTTATTTTATTTGTCTTGATACCTTTTCCAAACAATCAGGTTTGCGATTGGTAAATGTTGACAGCACTGTCCAGCCAATTATCAAATGGTGTAAGGCATTATACATACAAGACTCCCCCTCAGTCCACACCACCACCAACAACAACCTCACCCCCTTGTGTAACATATATGCCATTTATCTACACTGTAACATATCCCAACTCATTCATCTGCACTGTAACATATCCCAGGTCATTTATCTACTTTCTCACAGATAATGCCATGGCCAACTTGGTAATGAACTGTATTTTCCTTTGAATTAGCCATCACAATAAAAACATTTTTGATAATATCATCTTTTTTTCAATGAAATGCACCAGTGTTAATATTGTTGTTTCCTTAAAACAGGATATCGAATCCTGCCATTTTGTTTTATGTGATAGCTTTAATTTGAAGACATGTTAATTGTATGTCAGTTTACTACATTGTTACAGCTGTGGACTGACAGGTGTATATAATGTTATATTGTCCTTGTGTCCCTAGAGGGTTGACTGACAGGTGTATATAATGTTATATTGTCCTTGTGTCCCTAGAGGGTTGACTGACAGGTGTATATAATGTTATATTGTCCTTGTGTCCCTAGAGGGACTGACAGGTGTATGACAGGTGTATATAATGTTATATTGTCCTTGTGTCCCTAGAGAGTTGACTGACAGGTGTATATAATGTTATATTGTCCTTGTGTCCCTAGAGAGTTGACTGACAGGTGTATATAATGTTATATTGTCCTTGTGTCCCTAGAGAGTTGACTGACAGGTGTATATAATGTTATATTGTCCTTGTGTCCCTAGAGAGTTGACTGACAGGTGTATATAATGTTATATTGTCCTTGTGTCCCTAGAGAGACAGGTTGACTGACAGGTGTATATAATGTTATATTGTCCTTGTGTCCCTAGAGAGTTGACTGAGAGGTGTATATAATGTTATATTGTCCTTGTGTCCCTAGAGAGTTGTCTGAGAGTTGACTGACAGGTGTATATAATGTTATATTGTCCTTGTGTCCCTAGAGAGGTGACAGACACAGGTGTATATAATGTTATATTGTCCTTGTGTCCCTAGAGAGTTGACTGACAGGTGTATATAATGTTATATTGTCCTTGTGTCCCTAGAGAGTTGACTGACAGGTGTATATAATGTTATATTGTCCTTGTGTCCCTAGAGAGTTGACTGACAGGTGTATATAATGTTATATTGTCCTTGTGTCCCTAGAGAGTTGACTGACAGGTGTATATAATGTTATATTGTCCTTGTGTCCCTAGAGTTGACTGACATGTGTATTGTTATATTGTCCTTGTGTCTGACATGTGTGTATATAATGTTATATTGTCCTTGTGTCCCTAGAGAGTTGACTGACATGTGTATATATAATGTTATATTGTCCTTGTGTCCCTAGACGGTGGACGGCGAGGTGTATGAGAAGATACAGGAGTACTTCAGTTTGCTGGGGAGCACCATCGTTGAGATCAGCCAGGCAGAGGCCAGCAACTTTGAGAATGTTGTCAATGAATCTGCCAAGGTACATAGACATGAGAGTCCTCGCCTGAAAGACTTCCTGTTCTCCACGGAAACACTTCCTGTCCTAACCTCACTCTACCACCTGTTCAAACACTGGTTCATCCAGTTACATTTCCCTATTTGTTTCATTTGTAGCCCACAGAACAATAATATTCATAATGCTATACATTTTGACATTTCCATACATTTGATGTTTTTGAAACTTTATATTCATAATGAACTCTGTGTAGAAGACAACAATGAAGGAAGGTGAGCTTCTGTACCCTATATACTTTTGCTCTGCTTTGTTAGAACCATGTAGTAGTACATGTACGTAAACATCTGACATTTCAAAACTTTATTTTGTGGTTATATGTAACTAGTTATAGAAGTGAGATTGTTTGTTTTCAGATCAGCCGAGCATTCAGCCTCCAGTGTTTCCTGTTCTGCAACCCCGTGTTCACAGACCTGGTTCAGTATCAGTTTGATCCCTGTCATAGTGATCCGGTGAGTACACATGCACTTACTTAAAAAGTGATATCACGTGTCTTTGCATTGAAAGAAGAATAAACGTAAAAAAAACCTTGTGCTTACAGACTGTTGCAAAGTGGTTGTTTTATGTTAGAACCTCCATAAATGCTGAAAACATTTAAATCAATTCTTAGCGATGAAAACAGGAGATATTTAATCTGACAAAACAATATTTAATTATGATCTCTAAGAAGAATTTATGTCATATAATATATTTGATAATGTTTGCGTTTTTGGCTAAACTGTATTTTGAACTCCTTCGTGTAGAAACCATTCAGAGTTGAAAAGGTCTTCCTTGAAAAGACGTATAATTGAACAGGCGGTATTGTTACGCAATCAAGTTCCTTGGAGAGCTTAGTTGGCAATTTATGGCTGTAATCAATAGACACATATTGATGTTCAACTTTGATGTGTTCACCGATATTGACATTGTCCGCTCAGCTAGTCTGCAAGCTTCTCATTTGTTTAACCTAAATAAAATTCGTAATGATTCATGGCATGTAACTTGTCCCGACATAAGGGCAATTGCCATTTACAAATAGCCAAATAATCATGGCTTCTTGTATCTTATAGGCCAGCTCAGACTTTTTTCCCGGAATGAAATCTGTTTAGCTAAAATAAGAATCACTTTTATTAGATGACTAAGATGTAATAAGTGTGTTTGTGTGGGTAGTTCGCAGATGAATCTGTTTAAGATGACAGCGTATTGATTATAAAACTCCTGAACTTTGTAATCAAGTTTGAGTCTTCTTTTAAAACAGAAAAGAGCTGGCTTAAAAGAATTGATGTCTGCAATATTCACATCGTTGGTAGGGTTTGAGATGCTAGCTTTGTGGTTAGCGTGTTGGTCGGCACAGAATATGAGAATTGAATCCCACACTCTGTGCAACCACCTCTGGGAGATTTAGAACATGAGTGCTGACACAGTATACCTCACCCTAGCTAGCACAGTTAATGTATGGGGCATTGGGGTAGCCAAGTGGTTAAAGCGTTCACTTGTCATGCTGGAGACCCGGGTTTGATTCCCCACATGGTTACAATATGTGAAACTCATTTCTGGTGTTGCCCGCAGTGATATTGCTGGAATATTGCTAAAAGTGGAATAAAACCATACTCACTCACTCACTCAGACACTGTTAATGTATAAGATATCATATTTGTTGTATTAAGTGCTTTCGTTGCAGTAAGCCCCTGACCAACTTTAAGTCCTTTCGTGACAATCCACAATTCTTGTGTATGTTCAGATGTATTTACAGAAAAGAGCATCACATAAAGGATATGTGTGAGCCGAGTAACTGTTATCAAGACAGATTTAGTTTCCTGGGTGGTGGGATAGCCTAGTGGTTAAGGCATTCGCTCAACACGCCGAAGACCTGGGTTTGATTCCCCACATGGGTACAATGTGTGAAGCCCATTTCGGGTGTCCCATGTTGTGATATTACTGGAATATTGCTAGAAGCGGTGTAAAACTGTGGTCACACTCTCTCCTTGATGTTTCAACTATGTTTCTTCCCTGCTGCTCGATCCTACACATGTATAATTATATTATTGAAGTGATTTCCCTCCCCCTTTGTTATCCAGCAGTTTTAGATTTAGCTAGAACCCATGGTGATAGACTGAGACTATGTTAATTATAATTTAGTTTCAACAAATCCACTATGAATAATGGTTGAAATCCACTATGTATAATGGTTGAAATCCACTATGTATAATGGTTGAAATCCACTGTGTATAATGGTTGAAATCCACTATGTATAATGGTTGAAATCCACTGTGTATAATGGTTGAAATCCACTATGTATTATGGTTGAAATCCACTATGTATAATGGTTGAAATCCATTATGTATAATGGTTGAAATTCCACTATGTATAATGCCGAAGAAAAATTCTAGTTTAAGGTCACTAGGTCATAAAAGGTTTGTGCTGAGAAAAAAACAGAGGTGCAATATACCAGAGTGTGCTTGCTTGAGTAATCTCAGTGTCCTTTTATTGGAAGCAGTTGTGATTTGATGTTTGACTGTTTGACCTTCCTACAGTTAGGCAAGGTCAGTGGAGATCACAATGCCATGCCAGATTTGGAGAAAGAAGCCAAAAAATGGGCAGCCAAAGTTGCTAAGGAAACCAAAGCAATTCGAGAGTACCACAGAATCCTGAAGTGTCTACAGACTCAAGGGTCAGACAAGGTAGGGTGTCTCCATGGAGTCTTCTTACATATGTACCATTAATGATTACTGCACAAGATGACATCAGTCTCAGCTCGAAATAATTCCAAAATCTTGGTATCACAAAGAAGGCATGGTGGCCCAGTGGTTCAAGTCATCAAAGGTGTCACATTTGATTGAGTGGAGTTATATCGCTTAGGTCCAAAACGGATGCTGCTGAGTTCAAACCTGAGATTACGGTTCTTGGTTTGACAGCACCATACTCATGGGTTTCACTTCAAGAAGGTGATCGTCGGTGATCTGCCTCACTTTCTGACTTTGGTCCGACAATGGAGCTGACTTGTAATAAAAGTGACATACTGTTGAATCACAAAATGGCTGATCAGCATTAAGATGAGTGTATGAATCTTGGTTGGTTGGTTGGTTTGTCGTTTAATGCCACACTCAGCAATATTTATTCCTACTGTATGGCGGCGGTCTGTAAATAATCTAGTCTAGACCAGACAATCCAGTGATTAACATCATGAGCATCAATATATGCAATTGGCAAGCCTGACCATCCGATCCCGTTTGTCACCTCTTACAACAACCTTGGATTGCTGAAGATCAATTCTAACCAGGATCCTCACGGATGGCATGAATCTTCTTCATATCCTGCAACACAGTTTTGTGTGTTCCAGGTGTCAGACTCCGGGATCGAGTCCAACTCCACGACGGCCAGCAGTAGCAGTTCTTCCCAGGATCCCGAGGTCAAGATGGAGGAGATGCGGCAGAACATTCGTAAAGCGGAGGTAAGGGACACATTTGATCAACTAACCAATGATCTTCTGGAAGAAAATTTCGTTGAATTTATATGTTAAAAGATTTTCTTGTTACAATAAGATTGTGATATTGTATATTTCAGACAGCTAAGATGAAGGCTGAAGCTCGTCTTGAAGCTCTGCGAAGTGCAGGAAGTAAGTTTGTCTTTAGTCATCATAATATCTAGCTATCTGACTGGCCAGGGCTGTTAGACTTGTGCCGGTCCTACTGAAAAGCAAATTACTGTCTGAGCTCGCATCTCTTGCAATGTCATTTCTGAAGGGACAATGTCCTGTGTTGAGATGCTGGGTTGGACTCTGTCCCAGGCAGCGTTTACTGGTCACAACAGGCAATCTGCGACTAGGCTTAATGCATAAGGTGTTCCCACACTTGAATGGAATGGATTGTTTGCTCACAATATCAGCCACTGGTTTGTCGGCTCTGGAGTCTTACCGTCGGAATATTGCTGAGCTCAGAATCAACCACAATGGCCTCATACTGAGTGTCTGTTAAGGAAAATATAATATGGTCACACAATATAATTCACCCGAAATATAATCCACATAACTTATGAACTTGTGTTGATAAATAATAATAATTATATTTGGGATGTGTAACTCAAAATCATGATCAGATCATAAGCAGCAGTTACATATTGTTGAACTTTTTTCCCAGTGAATAATTTGAAAATGTTAATACAGTGAGATTGGTTTTGGTGTGTGTTTGCTGGAGGTATTACAGAATGAGGAAGAAGTGGACAGTTTTACTTGGTGATAGATATTGCGGGCTATACCGAAGTGTTAAGCATTTTCAACTTTGAAATTACTTTTTAAGAGCAATACTTGAAAAATATAAAAGAAATAATATTAATTCTGCTTTTCCTTTTTTAAATATAAAATATCTTCCCCTTTGTATGTTTTCTGGCACAAAAAACTTTGGTAATCTTTTCAATTTTACTTCTCTTCTAAAATCCTTTTTAAGTCTATGTGATTGAAAATTGGATACATCCTGTTAATTTCTTCTTTCTTTGAAAAGGAAATTAGAAAAAAAAATTTGCTAGAAATTGTTAGGGAATTTTTTTTGATTTTAATGCCCTGCAGATTCCCTTCTTAGAAAATAACAGTTTCCAAACTTGATCCAGCAACTTGGGACGTTTAAGTCCTTTCTGTGTTTGAGGCCTTTGTTAGGAAGATATGATTCATGGCTACATGAGAAGAAAGAAAGCAGGCTGCATGTCTCAGTCTATATACACAGGCATAATGCAGGCGACTGCCTTGTATAGCATCCTTGTGAGCCCCATCGAGCTGCCCCTATACAGCCCCTATGAGCCCTCTATGGAGCCCTGTATGGAGCCCTTGTAGAGCCGACTGGGACTGGGACGGGCAAACACAAAGGCTGCATTGTCCCATGGAGATGACGAGGGGGGAATTAAAACTGCTGTAATTAGCATATGGGATGCAGGGGGTTATTACTGAAGCTATTATCTGAAGATGACGCCAGTTTGGGTGGAAATTATGCAATTTTCCTGATGTACTTTCACGATGGAGTGAGACCTGTAATTACGTCATGTGTTTTATCGCCATTTCAGAAAAAACATTTCAGAGTGTTAGGTGTTGTTTCATGTTTCAGAGTCTGTCTCAATCTTGTTTCAATTGTATAATCACAAGAAAATATTACAGATTTCTTTCCATTAATTGTAACAACCATGTTAGTCTTAAATATTAACGTTATTAATTTTGATATTTTTAAGTCGATTTTCTCATCAGCTATGATTTCAGGCCAGTATTTCATGTCTGCTTGTTACATTGAAAAAAAAAGAAGTTTAATTCTGGATATTGATGTATTGTGGGAAAATTGGAAAATAATATTTTGGTCTCACCTGCTATAGCAGAATTTTTCAGGACAGTAGATACATTCTCACTCAATTGTCAGAGGCTGCAGTGAAAATATCAAAACTATTTCATGAACTTTTCTATCGCTTCTGTCAGGAACAAATCAGAAGGAAAATAGATTATTCATGCAATATAGATTAATGAGCTAATATTACTTGATTGAGGGGAAAATTTCTCTTAAATTGGTCATAAAACACAATTGAATTAAATAAAAAATTGTCAGTGCTTTGTTCCTGAGCGGCACGTTGTTGAACTGTTTGAAGATGGGTGGACGAAATGAGGTGTTTGTGTTCTTCAATCTAATCATATTCGTAAGAGAAGTTTAAGTATGAATTGCTGTTTGTGTTGCAGTCAATGTCGATGATTACCTGAGCAATGCTCAGATGGAGAGTCTAGGTACAGACGACATCTGCATCGCCCGCACACCCAGTCAAATGTCACTGCGGACAGAGAGCTCCGGTGGGGTGAGTCATCTCCCTTGTTACTATAAATAGAAACACTAAAGGTGTTGCTTCCAGTACATCCAGCCGTACCTTACATTTGACTGAGTGTTTTCTCGCTAATTAATTTTATATCTCGGAGTTAGAGTATTCTTGTGGTTTAAATTTCCTCTGGGAATATATGTAATGTAATTACATATACAAGTAAGTAATTAGGATGAAAACAGCCATCAACGTGACATATTTGGGATCCCGGTGGACAAGATTAGAGCTGAAGAGCTGTCAGGAATTATGAATACTTTAGAGAATTAACATTCAGAACTGCAGCCTAGAACAGTGGTAGCAGATGAGGATATCTGTTACAACTTTCATACAACGATCAGGGAATAATTTTCATAATTAGTTTGTCACTTAAAGGGTTTCAAGTTATAGTTTATATCTATTTGGTGGAAAACTTTGAGGGAGTTGTCAGTCAGAATCAAGAATGGTTTTCATTTGTCATGATTTTTAGTCAAGGTCATATGGTGCAGAGGACTGATATAACTGTGATGCTGAAATTAAAGCATGTGTCATCTGTGGATGAAGTGTTGATTCAGATCCCCTTCCCCCGAGGATATTACCCTATTCCCCCAGAGATCACCCTATCCCCCCAGGATATCAGCCTAAACACACACCCCCACCCCACCCCCACCCCCAGGAGATCACCCTATCCCCCAGGATATCAGCCTAAACACACACACCACACCACCCACACCCCCAGGAGATCACCCTATTTCCCCAGGAGATCCCCCTCCCTCTGGAGATCACCCTGCCCCTCCAGGATCAGTTACAGACAGAGATTTAAGATAATTGTAAACACAAGAACGCTGAGAAGAAGGTCCAGGATATTAAATTGATCATGCATTCAATTTCATGATGAATACTTGAAAACAAGCATTGGGTGTTGGAGAGTGTGTTGAGAAATATGTAAATTAGCATGTTGCGTGATGACAATGGGTGTTTGTAATGAGCAGCTGTCAGTGAGACGTACGGCAGTATCACTTCTCTCACTGCAGCACAGGAACTAATGCCTTATATGGTCACATGTAGAGTATTTTAGCAGGATTGTTCAGTTTAGTTTTGGAAAGTGAAATGATTTTGGGACATTTGACGCATAGAATAGTCGAGTATTGATCTGCTATTGCAAGCTGTGTCTGGGTGTGGGCTGTCCCACTTGGAGAAAATCGACTGTTTGGATTGAATTAGTTGTTATCTGATTAATTTAGAAAACGGTGTCGTTTGATGGTCCTTAACAATACACTCAGTCACAGGGAAATTGTTTTTATGAAGTAGTTATTCTTGTGTATTTAATGTGCAGCACGTCTTCATTATCTGAATGTTTAGGGACCCATTCTATTCTAGTGCTTCAGTTATCATCACTGCCATACCAAGATGGCTTTCAGGAACAGTGCTCTGTTTAAGATAGAACTAGTTGTAAATTGTAAGGGTGATGTTTAACTTGGTGTAGAAGTGTTGTATTTTCTTTTCAGAACTTACATGAATGTAATAACATATTAATTTTGATTCATAAATAAGATATGGAACAATGTAAAAGTGAATAGAACAGTTTTATGAGGATAAGGGTACCGGTATGTTACAGCCAACAGTTAGCTTAACAGAAAAGTGATCCATGTGCCACCTATTCAGGCCCAAGTCCACAGCAAATGTCAGTAAAAGGTCCTAGATTGTAATAAAACATTTCCCAATTAGAGTAGTAACTAATCTTACAGTTTGTAGGGCTGACATGTTGTTTTCTGATAAAAGGACCAGTATAGGCTGAAATACCTAGGTTCACATTATTGTCTTAAATTCAATGTTAATAGACCTCTGAATTTAACAAAAATATGATCTTTCAACTGCCAAATAAGTTTTATATAAAATATTGATATTTCTCAATTTGCCTGCAAAGGGACCTTAGTTTGGAATCCTAGATTGTGGGCATTGTTTGGTATTCAGTGGCAATATGTGACTGATAACTACCATTCATTCCAAACATTGGTACAGTCTGGGAAGCATTGTCTTGACATTCTCCATAGTGACACAATGTTGCTGAAAGCAGAGGAAACTATGCTCACAGATACTCAATAAACATATATTCAACTGTCACGGGGGCGGTGGGGTAGCCTAGTGGTCAAAGCGTTGGCTCGTCACGCCGAAGACCCGGGTTCGAATCCCCACATGGGTACAATGTGTGAAGCCCATTTCTGGTGTCCCCCGCCGTGATGTTGCTGGAATATTGCTAAAAGCGGCGTAAAACCAAACTCAGTCAGTCAGTCAGTCAACTGTCACGATACATTAGGTTGAATCAGCTTATTTAACATCCATAACTCCCTGACCTTGATAAGTTGGCCGAGTCTCTGGGACATCTCGGTTACAGAGAAAGTTACTTGTAACAAGTTGTCACGGATCTGTTTACAGCACAGTGCTGACGACCATGAGCCAACATACACACATTACGATGATGATGACGACTTCATCGACGACGCCTTCAACACAACGACAGGGTCGGGTACATCGCAGGTCCCCACCAGGAAGTACCCAGTCAAGTGCAATGCGCTGTACGAGTTCCAGGCCAGCAACTATGATGAGCTGACTATCGCAGCCAATGAGGAGTTAGAGTTGGTTGCCGATGGTGACGGGGAAGGATGGGTAAAGGTAGGTAACTTATGATGGAATACTTTCTTAGCAAGTGTCAGAGTTTCATGTATGGCATGGTATTAAGATGATTTTCAAATCGTGATAGCCCTTCCCAAGCTAGTTTCTCTGTCATGTGAGTGAGTGAGTGAGTGGCTGGAGATCAGAACAGATCTGTCCATGTGGTTATTCCAGTCTGTTTCATATAAAGATCTTTGAATGAGTGAGTTTTATTTAACGCCACACTCAGAAATATTCCAGCTATATGGCAGCTGTCTGTAAATAATTGAGTCTGGACCAGACAATCCAGTGATTCACAGTACGATCATAGATCTATGCAACTGGGATACAATGACATGTCAACTTAGTCAGCGGGCTTGACCACCCGAGCTCGTTTGTTGCCTCTTACGCCAAGCATGGGTTGCTGAAGACCAATTCTAACCTGGATCTTCACGGGTCTCATATAGATCAAACATAGAGAGGGAAGTTGAGCTGGTGGCAGGGAGGAGGTGGATGGGTGATCGTGATGGACATGGGGCTTTGGTTCTGCCTCACAGGTTGCATGTGATGACATTCAGATCCAGCTTGTTACATTCCAACCATCGCTACCCCGCCCCTCCTTTGGAGATCAGGGGTAGAACTGGTCTTCAGCAAGCCCTGTTGGTCATAAACAGTGTCTAATTTAATCAGGTGGTCAGGCTCGCTGATAGGTTCAAGCATATCGTCCTATAACAGATGATCGAAAGATAGTCATGATGTCAATAACAGCTTGAATAATTGTTGAGTGTGTTATTAAACAAGTAGACCTTCAAACCCACTGATGTGTGCCATCTTCTCCAGGCCAGAAGCTCATCCGGGAAGACAGGCTACATTCCAGAGAATTACGTCACATTTGATGGAGAGGTACAGCAGAATGGCTCGGCGCCACAGGGCGACGCCAGTTCTCCGCCAGTTTCTGCAGGTGTCCCGCCCCCTCTTCCACCACAAGCTTCCTCAGAGCCCATGTCTCCAACATCGATCAATGACAACCAGCACGACACGACATCTTCATACTCATCAGGTGACCTCGAGGTCCAGCAGACCACTGAGGAAATGGCCGTGGACAATGCCCAGCCAGGTCTTGGAGGTAAGAATTACTTGACATTTTAAACTTTATCTCAACCTTTGACAGGAATTAACATTTTGTAATTCTCTTTGGATTTGTATTGATAATCATTACCGTATATTACTGTAGAAAAGCTGAATAAGCCGAGGACCAAGAAAAGCAGTCTGTAGAAGGGTGTCGGCTTATGTATGGGTTACGCTTTAGTCAAACTTTTTTCCAGGGGTAAGAAAACAACATCGTATCACTTAAGGTTATACGTACCCTCATGAACGTGGTAAGCAGAAGTTGTACGCACATGGAATGGGGTAAAATAAGCAAGCCATTTAAATTCACACATTTTTACCGATGTTACTGTAAACTTGCAGTCCATGGAAAATGAGGCGGTAGTCGGTTCGTGATTGTTGATAATGTGATGTGAATTGGCTAACGCAGTTGGAGCGAAAAACATACCCTCACGAATGTGGTAAGCGGAAGTTGTACACACATGGAATGGGGTAAAATAAGCAAGCCAGTTTGTTGACATGTGATCGTCCAGCTACAATAAGTATGATATGTATCGAAATAAAATATATTATCCTTTTTCTGTCAACTAGACTTCATTTCGATGCGTGAGTAGACACTATATGTTTGTGAATTCTTTGAATAATGTAGACCAAAGTTATAATTATCGGTAACTGCCAGTTGCCTGTGGTCTGTGTTTGCCGCGATTAGGACCCCATCGCGGGGGATCGGCTTATACAATTTTGACACAGATTTTAAGGGTCAAGTTTGGGGGTCGGCTTATCTATGGGGTCGGCTTATCTACGGTAATATACGGTATATCAATAGTGTCTATTAATTCAAATTCTGTGACAGTGATATATTAATCAGTATGATGTATATTGGTCCTATTTGATTTATCTAAACTCAGACATGCTGGTCATAACTGATGCAGATGTCCTAATATTGGCTTAACACAACCCTGGCAGTATGATGAGTTACCTCCCCTGTTTCAGATGCCATGTGGGCACGTGCCCTGTATGACTATGTGGCCCAGGACGACGAGGAAATCAGCTTCGCAGAGGGGTCACTTATCAAGGTCATACGTAAGGACAATGATGGAGTGGACGACGGCTACTGGGAGGGGGAGTTCAATGGCAGCTCTGGCCTTTTCCCGTCAATGGTCGTCGAGGAACTTACAGCAGATCAGGTGAGGATGTGAAAAGTGAGGGAGTGTGTTACCATGACAACCATGTAATGTCCATGTTACTGGAAGAATGCAATGACCGAGGTTGATTGTTTGAGCAGCATGAGGATTGAACAAGGACTCACAGTGATATCAGTGAACACACTTACCACTGAACTACCCTACACTCAGGAGAACTACTTTCAGCTACAGGACCCTAGATTATTTTCCAACTTGATGAGAATGTACTCCCAGAGTTTTAATTTGAAAAACACTGCGGGATTTGAGTACTTTGTACATTGTGACGTTTTAACACTGAACCTGGATTCATTGAATTAAAGTAATATTTTGAACTTTGGCAACTGAGTGACTTTCGTTAGTGGACTTGTCTTCTATTTAAGTAGAACGTTCTAAGCAAAACACTCTTACCTCTGCTTAAGTGAAATTTCACCACATTGTCACCACTTGTCTCAGAATAATTGTGTTCCTGACCTCACTCCATTTGCTGACTGCAGAAATCTGTACATGACATGAATGAACAATAGATATTTTTTATCCCCCTCAACGCGTTTTGCTGTACTGGTGCCTTTTGGTAGTTTTGGAATTCTGAATAAAATATTTTTGGCGTTTCCATGGCAACAAGTTTGACTTAGACTGAAATTGGTGGTTGTGCTCTTTTCCGGAGCAGAACTCTAAAACCATTCACTATTTCTTCACCAAACTTGGCACATAGATTGGTCTGGTGGTGTACTGGTGCCTTTTGGTAGTTTTGGAATTCTGAATAAAATATTTTTGTCATTTCCATGGCAACAAGTTTGACTAAAACTGAAACTAGTGGTAGTGCTCCTTTCTGGAGCAGTACCCTAAAACCGTTCAATGGTTCTTCACCAAACTTGGCACATACATAGATCTGGGGGTTTACGGGTGCCTTTTGGTAGTTTTGGAATTCTTAATAAAATATAATTGGCATTTCCATGGCAACAAGTTTGACTTAGACTGAAATTGGTGGTAGGGCTCTTTTCCGGAGCAGAACTCTAAAACCGTTCAATGTTTCTTCACCAAACTTGGCACATAGATTGGTCTGGTGGTGTACTGGTGCCTTCTGGTAGTTTTGGACTTCTGAATAAAATATTTTTGTCATTTCCATGGCAACAAGTTTGACTTAGACTGAAATTGGCGATAGTGCTCCTTTCTGGAGCAGAACTTTAAAAACCTTTCAATACTCTCCTTCCACTTTTTTATATACACACCTAAATATTTGACATAATCATAACTCGTAGACATAATCATGAAGAGTATTTTGCCATTGTGGGGGTATATTGATGACTTTGTCTTCTTGTTCTGCTTATTTTGGGATGTTTTTGGTAATGATGATAAATGTTGCATGTGAATGAAGGACGTCCAATATGACCAGGTGATAATGTCAGTCTCTGTGGTGCTTGTTGCGTCCACTGAAGTCAACATTTCGCTTACAGGAAGTGATGTCACCGGGTGTTGACTATGTACCACCACCCCCGGTTACCGTTACCATGCCAACGCCTGATGCAGAGCTTCCACCACCCCCTGTAACCAATGGCGATGGTATGTATACAACAGTGTAGTAGTAATACTCGTACTGTCACAGTTGTCAGATGTTGTCAAAGATGGTGAATAATGTTGTACATGTTGTCAACACATAAGGCTACGAAAACAGAATTTTTATTAATGTTGAACAGTTTTTCAGGGTGATTATATCTAAATGGTTAATGCTCCTCCCAAGTTAGTTGTAAGGCAGGTGACATGTTGAGTATGTCAGGATTCATGCATTGATATTTTATGTGACAAGTCAATAATGACTAAAGCATACATAAATAAATATTTCAAACAAAATGTTTTTTTCCTCGTATGTAACCAAGATATGGGGAGTATCTAATGTCAGTTCACAAAAGACAATTTGTCTCCCGAAAATCATGTGCTCATTTTTATGTGCTCAGGTTCACTGAAACCATATACGTATAAATATTACCTGGTTACCATGGAGATATAAAAAGGTTTCCATGTTACCATGGAAGTACATAAAAGTTGCCATATACATCAGATTTTTACTGTCGAAGTTCATGAATGTTACCATGTAAACACATAAATGTAACCTGGTTACCATGGAAGTACATCAGTGTTACCTGGTTACCATGGAAGTATCAGCATGCAGGTAGTTGAAACATGATTGTCTTTATAGGGCGCATGGTGTTTTGGAATATGTGTAAGTTTAGCCCGTGTTTGTGTGAGCATATAACATAGTCTGAGATTGTTTGACTTTCTTCTATATCTACTGGCTCTGTGTAAACTCCTGCGTCAGAATGGGAGTGTCATATACCCAGCTGGGGTAGGGGATGCATACAGGATACTAAACAACCTTCCGTGTAATACCATTTTAAGTAAACGATACAAGAAGAAGGGCATCCTCATCCACCTGAAGAAGGGACAAGAAGTAGTGCAGAAACGTCGTGAGAAACAAATAAAGATTTGTTTTGTAGTACTACACCAACTTCTAAATGCCTTTGAAGAATTATATTAGACGAGTTAATGATTCTGTGAGTTTGATTCTAAATCTTTCACGAGTTTAATAGAATTAGTGTTTCACGGAAGTTTAGTATTCTGTTTATGCACTCAAACATATTTTGATAGAAACTGCCTACAGTGTGATGACTCTCAGCTTTCCGCGAGTCAAGCAAAGTCTAATACCATTGTGACACAGGTATTAGCATTGTGATGTCAGAACTGTAAACCATTATGACGTCATACGTCTAGCTGTATATGGCTGCCGTATCTGCCAGGGTTACACACAGGGCCAGTGTATCTGTGCACTTTCATGTTGAAATCACTTAATTTCCAAAGTCTGAGACTCTCCGTTTGGGGTCTTCTGTTCTAGTATTATTCTAAATACATTTTTATTTAATTGAATTATTTGATTTTGGACTCCTGTATTCATGAGTCATGAAAGTTTATTATACTACTATCTGAATGACAGCGAGTTCAATGGAGGTTTCTACATGAAAGATTAACTTGAGTGCTCCGATGCTCATATTTATAATCTCCCCATTTTTATCCCCAATAATATGGCACTATACACCTTTACACCCTCAACCTCACCTGCTCTGTCTGTCATATATCAGTGTATATCAGTGTATCTCTTCTCCAATTTTTCCTCTCTGTTTTGCTGTATCCACCTCATCTGTAATTGTCCATACCTCATCTCCCTGTCTGTTCAGCTGTCTCTTCTCTTTCACTCACCAATCACTCTTTCTCTCCTCTCTTTGACCCCCACCCATGAAGATCCGGGTTAGAATAGATCTTCAGTAACCCATGCTTGTCGTAAGAGGCGACTAATGGGATCAGGTGGTCAGGCTCGCTGACTTGGTTGACACATGACATTGTATCCCAATTGCGTAGATCGATGCTCATGATGTTGATCACAGGATTGTCTGGTCCAGACTTGATTATTTACAGACTGCCGCCACATAGGTGAAATATTGCTGAGTGTGGCGTAAAACTAAACTCACTCACTCACTCTTTGACCACCCTTTCACTGTCTGTGCCTTCTCTCTTTGACTCCCCTGTCACTTCACTGTCCCTTTCTTCTCTGCCATCTATTGTGTGTGTCACTGGTTGCGTAGGTCAGTCTGATCGTGAATGCTGCAAATCCCAACTGTGTTAATATTTCAGTTCCCCTGCATCCACGGAGTCACCGACTGGGATCGGTTAATCCCCACTCGTTTGAGTCCACTGTTTAGGTACCCGGCATGGCCGCTCAAATGTAGTTACTCACATTCATAGTTTCATACTAATTGTGTTTAAAAACATTTTTTTACTAACAGCATCTAACTCAGAATCATTTGATACCCGTGAAGATCCGGGTTTGAATTTGTCTCTACAACCTATGCTTGTCATAAGAGGCGACTCCGCCGTGATGTTGCTGGAATATTGCTAAAAGCGGCATAAAACCAAACTCAGTCAGTCATAAGAGGCGACTAACGCCTAATTGAACCCGCGCCATCATGGTGACGAGCGAGCACTTTAACCTTCAAGTTACCCCAACCCGTGAAGATCCGAGTTAGAATTGATCTCCAGTAACCCATGCTTGTCATAAGAGGTGACTAACGGGATCGGGTGGTCAGGCTCGCTGACTTAGTTGACATGTCATCGGTTCTCAATTGCGCAGATAGATGCTCATGATTTTGATCACTGGATTGTCTGATCCAGACTTGATTATTTATGGACTGATCCCATGTAGCTGGAATATTGCTCAGTGTGGCCTTAAACAACAAACAAAAAGAATCACTTGCCTTGTCAGAACTCCCCCTCGTTGAGATATACCTTCACTTCTTGTCCTCCATGTTGTGTTGGGGTAGCCTGCTAGGTGAAGGACTGACTTGGCATATCGAAACCTCTGGTTATAAACGCATGGCTGTAATATTGCTTAATATTGCTACACACTAACACATTATAGTTCTTCAGTGTCCTACAGGGGTGTGCGCCAGTGTGTATAACAACTCTGATTGTTAACTGGCACCTAGCATCAAGTCAGTTTACCTGCTTCCTTTGGTAAGCTTGTATCCAATATTTGGATTGTTTACCTAACACCAAGGTTTGTGATTGGTCATCTCCCTTCATGACATCGGTGGAGAATGTCATCTGCTTTCATATATAGATCAAGTCTTGTAATGTGCATCTTTCATATCTGTCGTTACGTCTTGTCTCTGAACGTCTGATGAATTACGATACCCAGGGTAGCTCCACTCTCACCGAAGTCTGATCTAATTAATGGTATACCACCTCTTGTCCTCTTTCATATGGCAACTGTGTGTGTAAGTGAGTGTGAGTGACAGATATTCTCAAACTTTGCCTCACTAACTGTCAAGTAGATTTCTAACCCGTTTAGATGCAGATCTATGTATTTTATACTGTATTAGATGCAGATCTATGTATTTTATACTATATTAGATGTAGGTATATATATTTTATACTGCATACTGGCTTGTACAATAGCTATATAGCAGCTCGACATAGCCTCTTGTATACTTGCATGTGTGGCCTGTTACATGTGTGGCCTGTTACTCGGCAACTGTACCATAGAGATGGGGAACACTGTACTCTGTGTAAATATATTCTCTTGTAAAATACCCTAGAACCCAGACTTACCACACTTAGTAGATTTACAGTTTAGTCCCAGATTTTGTCAGTCAATATTTACTATGTTTGAATGTCGATCATTTTCTCCTCTGCCAGTCAGGATCTAGTTTAGCTGATGTATATGTCTCGGAAAGAAACTTCAGAAATTTGATATACAGTGTGTAGTTCAATGGTGTACTGATAATCGATGTTGTATATAATGTAATGCATTTCATTGGTTGAATGTAGCTTACAGCAGGTCTTGCTCGACCTGATAATCGATGTTGTGTATAATTTAACTCATTTCATTGGTTGAATGTAGCTTACAGCAGGTCTTGCTCGACCTGATAATCGATGTTGTGTATAATTTAACTCATTTCATTGGTTGAATGTAGCTTACAGCAGGTCTTGCTCGACCTGATAATCGATGTTGTGTATAATTTAACTCATTTCATTGGTTGAATGTAGCTTACAGCAGGTCTTGCTCAACCTGATAATTGATGTTGTATATAATATAACTCATTTCATTGGTTGAATGTAGCTTACAGCAGGTCTTGCTCGACTTCCTCTTTAACTCTAACGCTGCCAGACCTACATGATGATTTGTTTAGTTTTACTCTATTTTAGTATATATTTCTTTAATCGTTGTTTATATGTCGGGGCTGTGGGGTAGCCTAGTGGTCAAAGCGTTGGCTCGTCACGCCGAAGACCCGGGTTCGAATCCCCACATGGGTACAATGAGTGAAGCCCATTTCTGGTGTCCCCCGCCGTGATGTTGCTGGAATATTGCTAAAAGCGGCGTAAAACCAAACTCAGTCAGTCAGTCAGTCAGTTTATATGTGACATTGTGAGACAGCTAACACAGGGGCATGTCCTAGTAGGTCTGTTTACAGCATGTCAGTTAAGCAGAACCACACATCTTCCAGGTTCTATTGTCCTTGGGATGTTTTGTTGTTCAGATCTGACAGTCGTGATTTATTTTTTCAGATACAGCAACAGAGCCAATTTCTGATAACAGCACACCTGAACAGGTAAGATGGTTACCATGGTAACGAATGTTGCATCTTGGTTATGTTTCTGATGGCTATTATGAGTTATGAGAATCTGTATGTGACAACTAGTGACAGTTGCTGGGTAGAATGTTGTAGTGGATATGTACTGCAGTATAACACGTATCACCTGCTGTGATGCTGTGTGGGGTGTTTCCGTGTTATGAGAGGTTAAACTGGAAACCATGTTTAGTTCAGACTTGTAAGTAACCTTCTGAGTCTCCCAAGTTGAAATATGGAGTATGAAGAAAAATATCATTTATCAGTGGTAGGTGTTAAAAACGGAAAATTTCCATATGCAAGTATTTTTTTATCCAAGGTAATTTATGATCTTGATAAAAATTAAGTTGTTGATGAGTATGAGACCGAAGTATTGCTGGAAGTATTTCTGTATTTCTGGAAGTATTTCTGGAAGTATACGCTGCAGACTTCGATGACCTTCATGTTCGGTCGCCAATGTTCACAGTATCAGAGACCAGAATATTTTGTTTTGAAGTACAACTGTTGTAGCAATGTAGATGAAATATGATAGTGAATATTTTCAATGAAAAGTAGAAATATAACATTGCTACAGGTTAACTACATGTTCGCGACAATTTAGGTCCGTATCGTGGATGAGAATAACAAGACAACTATAAGCATGGGCACAGTTACATTGACCTCTACTGACCTCATGAATTGTAGCATGCTAGTGTCGTTGTGTCTGTCTACTAGGGTGTTACATCTGGGGCTGAGTGGGTTAGATCGCTGACTCTGTGTGCTGGCAATTAGGTGCCTCAATCTTGAAGTGTGAGTTTGAATCCTGGATGGAATCAACCCCCAAAAAGTACTAGAATCATGGCCTAGATTTTCGAAGCTCTCTTAGTGCTAAGATAGTCGTAAGTGCCATACATTAACATTAACTTATGACTATCTTGGCGCTAAGATAGCTTCGAAAATCTAAGCCCTGTACCTTACTGACAAAAAGTAATTCCAAATGTATCACATTAGCTTTTGTCCACTTTCTAAATGGCATTGTATATAGTTATACTGTTAGTTTATTAGCTTGTTAAACTGTTTGCATGTTTGTTTGTTTACCTGTTAGCCTGTTAGCCTGTTAGTCTGTTAGCCTGTTAGTCTGTTAACCTGCTAGTCTGTTAACCTGTTAGTCTGTTTACCTATTAGTCTGTCAGTCAACTTGTACCTATGCTGATAAGATGTATATTCTCTTTTACTGCTTCCCAGTCTATGGTATAGAGAGGAGGGTAAGTATCGCCCTGTTATACCACCATCACAGGCACCCTGGGTGTACACATCTTTCACGGTATAGGCTCCGCCCCTTGCAGTTTTCACCTTCCCATGGAAATAGGTTCAATATTTATACAAGTCTCCACATACTGTCTGCGTGAAATGTCCACTGTTGACTGCTGACCTACCCTTGCATGAAGCAGTTATCTCCCCTTACCTCCATGTCACACACCTGTTCTAAATGTTTTGATTGGTAAGAGTCATTTTTGTCTTGTTAACAAAGACATTTTTTATACAAAATTCAGGTCAATAGATCATTAACAATAAAATATTGAAAAAAAATCAAGCTTTTGATATATTTTTAAACGTTTATTAATGATGTTTGGGGAGGTGTCTGATTTCATTTTTTACACAGTAAACTTTTTCTTTTAATGAACATAAACAACATGTACTCCACAGTTTACACAAACAGGTAGAGAGATATTTAAGTTGATGGACAAAAGCACATGATTCCACTCAGTGTGAACAGTGGTATTATTGCACAATGTGACACATCTCTGTCCGCTTTCTGAGGACAAGCACATCACACAGAACACTCTCAGCTTTGCACCTTCATGTTTGCATCAGACTGAACACCGTTTTTCTGACAATATGGTATCATTAACATCTTCAGCAGTGTTGCTAATCAAGTGTCAAAATAAGAAATTATTGAAGATTGATAAATGATTAAGTTTAACATGTATTTAGGGATGGATTCATAGATCAGTGAAACGTCGGTTATCTTTCTGTGTATCTAAAAAACAATGTTTATTTTCAGAATTATAAGAAAGTTCGGTTCAGCAACAACCACATGGTACCGACCGATGTCCTACAGCCGCACTACCCTTTACACACGCAGTGGGAGGACTCCGAGGAAGAGGGGGAAGAGTCTGTTGTCTGACACCAGTTGTCATAGCAACAGGATTGTTACCTTGCCATCCTTCCAGGAGGTCCACACTGGTTGCCTTGACAACCAATCTGTTACCACACAGTGACTATGAACTTGATAAGCAGTTGCAGGGCAACTGCAAAGGATCGTTTCAAAATAATTGCTGTCATAGCAACAGATGGTTACCATAGCAACATGTGATGAGGGAAGAGTTGATCTGTTTCATTACACTGGCTTGGGGAAGAAGGTATTGTAGGTGGTTGGTGAACTGACATTATCCCCATGGAAACCAATCTGCCTGTGTAATGGTGGTTTTTTAACCTTGGAGTATATTGTAGTCATAGCAACCAGTAGCACACCTAGACAATACGTATATGATAGAGAACTGACCTGTCATCATGTCATCTATAGTGAAAACCAATGAGGGAGTACGATAAAGATGATAACACTGTTGCTAGGCAACTGAGATGGGATACGCAGTTATCCCACGGTAGCCGGACTACTGCAGAGAAAGTGCGCCTGGGCAGGAACAGACATTGAGTAGAGACAATGCTTGCATATGGAGCAGCCATGACAGGCTACATTTCAGTTGATGTTCAGTTTTGTTTCACAAACTTTGATGTACTTCCGCACAAGTCTCCACCAGCCCATGCCTCACGCCTGCTGGCAACGTGCCCCCTACAGACAGTACACGCCTGGGAAGTGTCATCACCCATCACGTGACAGGAGTCGGTGGTCAGGCTGCATGTCATGTATTAACAGGAAGTAGTACTCTGCACATGCTCAATAGAGGAGCTGTATGGGAAGGATGTCTGTCGAGCAGCTTGGCCCATCTGAAGACGATCTGTGTACCAGTGTGTTGACACATAGCAGTGGATTATTATTTGAAAAATTAGACAGATTTTTACCCTCTAAGCAATTGTTGAAACAATTTTAAATGATACAAGATAAATTGATTGCCAAGATTATCTGATGGAGTGTAACAATACAGTGTTACTGTGCACATTGTTGCAGTCCACTGTCGTAAATCATATTGATAGTATATGGGATGACATACGCCACACAATACAGTTTTTATATTTTGTGTAAATGTTATGGAAAAGTAAATCTCATAGGACATTTCAGGTTACAATTTGTGTACGTTAAATTGTAAGATATAAAATAGTCAATAATGTGTTGTTTCAGGTACTGATACACTACATTTTGTTGAATATGTTTAATGCTATTCCCTTGATTCAAGAGGCTCAATACTGGGGTGTACTGATATCATTCATTGAGCTGAGCATGTTGAACCCCATGACAAATCAACTCTCCAGTTTACCGGTAAATAGTATATTTCATGTATTGGTGTAATATGTCATGAAATGCTGTAAAAGTACCAATTGGATTTCTGCTAGGAAGGACCAGTTTTGATGTATGTTTGTTTAATTGAGGAACATGGAGGTACATGTCGTCATGGTGACGGGGATGAAGGTTGAGATTATACATCAGGATGCTGCACGTTATAGGGGTCTGGCATGGGAAACATGACTTGTGTCATCAGCTTGAACTTTCCGCAGCATAATATATTTCGAATTACATTTTATCACACCCAGTTTCACAAATTTCTATGAAATTTGTTATTATTGATGGCCAGGTCTGACACAATCCTGGATCCATCTGTTTCAGACTACAGCAGGTGTGGGGAGGGAGTCATCGCGCCGAGGAGCGTCCTATCACATGATGTTCAACAAGTTTTTGACATTCAAACAAGGGATCACTTTGTTCCTACCTCATTTTTTTTCCAAAGTCTAAAACTGACGTGACACCCAGATTAACCGCTTGCACCACCATTATTTACATGTTTGTGAAGGCAGGAAGGCGTTGTTTGAAGCAGACATAAAATCTGCCTGTATTCCCCATTGTTGCTGATGGGCAGCCAGCCTCCCATGTGGTCCAGTGTAGATGTAGCCCACTGTATATAGAGATCTGTGTATATGCATAATAGCAACACAGGTAGACTGCAGGTTAGGGGGGCACACAGGGGCTCTACCTGGATCTTCCTCGATCTTCCGGACTGGTAATGTCTGGTATTTGATACTCGGACATATTGTCCAAATTTCACGTGACAAAATATAATTTTTATTTGTTCCATCTGGAGTTTAATTTTTTAAAATGAGTTTTAATTAATATATTACTGATGGATAAGAAATTTATATGAAGAAACTGTTACTGATTTGACCACAGTTACATTTTAACTCTTCTTGAACTGTGCTTGAAAATTTTGGAAACATCGATCAGTACAGACGTGGAGTTGACGATGCGAGGGCAGTATGTAGTGATTTTACCATATTGAGAGTTTGAGAGGCAGGCCATGTGTGGAGCCCCTGTGTATCATGTCCTTGACCTTGCAAGGTATTGTGATATGACTTTTGTATTGGGTGTTGGTAAAAGTGGAATCCATAAGTCTGTGATTGAAGTTGGAGGGAAGGAATATACTCTTGGAATGTAATCCATGACCTGTTTGTCTTTAATGTTAACTTACTTCCTAAATTATTCCATTTATCTTATTTGGTGGTTTGGGTGAGTTTATCATGTATCCAGTTTCTTTTTCACCTTATTCTCACTGTGCACACTGATGTGTCTGTTGTGTATGGAAGTAATGCTATATACCATGGATCATGGTCCTGAAATGTGTACATTATCATGAACATCTCAGAATGCCAAATGCCATGTTTATCCCAATCTTCCAGGATATTTACCGGTACAATTAAGTCCACATCAAATGTTTTACATATTACGGATTAAACTTCTTTTTTAATTTCTCTCACAGCGTTTGAGACCTTTCAGGTCCTTCATCAGGTGTACAATAGCCAGAAGTTAATCCATAAAACTACTAACATGGATTGGTTACAGTCCGATACATTAAGTAAACTTAAACAATATCAGTTTGTTGTACCAAAGTTGTTTTTCTTATTAATAACAGAATAACACCCAATAAGCAGGCTGTTGTAAAACAATCACAGACAGTCATTGAGATTGCTGAAGAAACAGAAGCTGTGTGCTGGTTTGAATGATGTACCTCTCGGCTAGCTGCACAGTTCACGATACATGCTGTAGGCACATTAGTTAGCCACGAGATAACTGATTCTGTGTAGTCATGATAAACATCTGTAAAATCCTGATACTAAATGTCTACCTACATATATATACTGACCCCTATGCGTGAGATTAGAAGACAGGGATGTTTATGAAAGTGTGTCAAGTTCATGTGTATTAAGTTAGCCATTGTTAGAGATATAGTTCTTCATTTATTTAGTGTAATCATGATTTCTGTAACATAAAAGTTGGTCAAGACTCTTGAGATTGTGTATATAGTGACTTGTACAGAAAGCAGCACCGTGTATAGACTGCTGTCGTTGGTCTAGTGTTGTGCTTGTGTGTTGTGCTAGGTGATGTAGGGCTGTACTAGATCGCCAATGCTAGATGCTCAGAGCTGCATGTCTAGCTACACTGTTTTAGGTAGTCTTCAACAAAACATGTTTACAGTTTTAGGTAGTGGTCAGGAAAGTAGGATTATGGTCATTGGTGCAGTCATCAGGAAAGTAGGATTATGGTCATTGATGCAGTCATCAGGAAAGTAGGATTATGGTCATTGATGCAGTCATCAGGAAAGTAGGATTATGGTCATTGATGCAGTCATCAGGAAAGTAGGATTATGGTCATTGGTGCAGTCATCAGGAAAGTAGGATTATGGTCATTGATGCAGTCATCAGGAAAGTAGGATTATGGTCATTGATGCAGTCATCAGGAAAGTGGGATTATGGTCATTGATGCAGTCATCAGGAAAGTAGGATTATGGTCATTGATGCAGTCATCAGGAAAGTAGGATTATGGTCATTGATGCAGTCATCAGGAAAGTAGGATTATGGTCATTGATGCAGTCATCAGGAAAGTAGGATTATGGTCATTGATGCAGTCATCAGGAAAGTAGGATTATGGTCATTGATGCAGTCATCAGAAAAGTAGGATTATGGTCATTGATGCAGTCATCAGAAAAGTGGATTATGGTCATTGGTGCAGTAATCAGGAAAGTAGGATTATGGTCATTGATGCAGTCATCAGAAAAGTAGGATTATGGTCATTGATGCAGTCATCAGGAAGTAGGATTATGGTCATTGATGCAGTCATCAGGAAAGTAGGATTATGGTCATTGATGCAGTCATCAGGAAAGTAGGATTATGGTCATTGATGCAGTCATCAGGAAAGTAGGATTATGGTCATTGATGCAGTCATCAGGAAAGGATTATGGTCATTGATGCAGTCATCAGGAAAGTGGGATTATGGTCACTGGTGCAGTCATCAGGAAAGTAGGATTATGGTCATTGATGCAGTCATCAGGAAAGTAGGATTATGGTCATTGATGCAGTCATCAGGAAAGTAGGATTATGATCATTGATGCAGTCATCAGGAAAGTAGGATTATGGTCATTCATGATCCAGGGGGCTGTTACAGGGTTATTCTTAGGTAATGGTGATACTCATAGCGTAGAATCTGCAGTACAAACATTAAAATTAAATTTTACATAATCATCATTGTTGTCAATTTGTATGATCCCTTACATAATGTTTCTTATAATCTCACAGCTGGTTCAAGGTGACGTGGTATTTCACATTATATGTCCATTGTTGTGCAGATACTGAAATCATCTTGTTAGGAAATTACAAACCATCTTAAGTATCAATCAGTTTATTTCCTGATTGCAAGTCTTCCAGGAACTGAGGAGCGGGCTACTAAGAATTTGCCCAGGACAAGGTTAAAAACAAATTTAACTATGACAAAATAATATGGTGTGTTATTGATGCTAAAGTATATCTGATTTGACAGGCATTTCATTTGGTTGAAAGAATAATGAAAAAACCCACATTAATTGTATTAAAGAAAGATTGAAGGTTTTCCCTTGCAGAGCGTACAGTGTCTCTGTTGATCTCAGGTCTGGTGGGAGATAATGTCATTTCCATCATTTACCCCTGCATCAAACAAATGCATTTTGCAATCTGTGCAATATTTTTCATAATGTTGATTTTCTACATCGTTTTTTAATTTGTAAAATGTCTACAATTGAGCCTTATTGCCTCCCACAGGCAGTGAAAGCAGCATCTAGTCCTCCCAACTGTAAGACCACCCAGGTTCTACTGATCCCTGTAGCATCAGGGCTTATTCCCTAGACAAAATACTCTGCTGTGTAGGTTGTAGTAAGAACAAAGGTTGTAGTAAGAACAAAGGTTGTAGTACGACTGTTTTGCCTGTGGTATTCCAGGACTGGAACCTGTGGGCACTAGGGCTGCAACGATTCGGTTCAATTCATCGAAAATTGAATCTGACACCTTAGTTTCGATTTTTCGATAACCCTTATAACTATGTCGATTCGATATTTGAATACCTATTTAAATTATTTCCACGCGGCCAGAACGTAATTTTGACTTCAACTCAAGCAGTTTCGAGCGTTGGAATAAGGCGAAACATGATTGGTTGACGCCGGGCTGATTATCCAATGAGAATTGTTGTTAGTAGACATCGCCAAGTTGACGATGGATTTCACGCTGAAAAAGCCGACTCGGAGAGTTAAATGAAATCAGATGTTTTTACTTGTATGAAGAATCGAGGGTCCAATATCAAAAACGAATCTAGGTTTGGGTGAATCGTTGCACCCCTATTGGGCACTGCAAGACTTTACAGACCCAACTGACAAAGATACATAAACCATTTGGGCTTATTCCACAGTGTATATCCTCCATATGAAATTAGCCCTTACTACATGTTCATAGTAACACTTCCACAAACTGCTTGCTGAGAGAATGAACTACCAAACAGGTCACAAATAGTTACCAGAAACAAGCCCTTGACACCATGATTTGCCCTTCTTTATTGTATTCTGTTATTTTTTGGTTATATATACATCACTCAACTTTTGACAGAGTTACTGAAAAGCATACATCACCGGTAAATGTTAGGAATATCCTTATTGAAAGTTGAGAAGTGTATTATAACTTACTGATAAATCAGTCTTTAAAATATGATTGTTTTCTTTATTTTGTTTTGTTGATTGTTTTGAATTTGCTAACAATATGTTGGTAAATAGTTGGAACTTGCATTTTAGGTTTTTATATATTTGTGGTGAGTTGAAGGAATATCACACATTGTTAGATCTGAATCCAGAAAATGGAGACAGGCATTTTGTTATGTTTACATTGACATTGTGTTGCTCAAGTCTTGTTCGGTTTCAAACAGATCCATACATGGGACACAGTATTTAGCAGCTTGGATCTGTGACATTTTCATTTCATTTTCAGTAAACTAGAAAACTTGATAAATGCAGGGTTCATTGTAACGCGATATGATTTTGATCTGAATATATTTCTAAGCACAACAAGGCTGCTGCTGCTGCTTTTGGGAACCGACTCTCATCATATTCTGCAGGTGCTTCATTTGACACATGATACTTTATCCTCATTCAGGGCCAGTCTCTCCCTTTTTACATCCCTGATCATGGATCTCCGCTAATGTATAACACATGTTATCCCTTGAGGTATCTCCAAGGAAGTGCAAATGCCAGTGTTTCTTTATTCTGTTCAATGTCAGTTTCTTTGGCCATATTTGGCACCAACAGTTTAAGGTCTCTCATAGCTTCAATAAACAAGTTTAGGGCTGGGCTTATCCAAGCTTCTGTATGATAATCCCTGCACTAATGTCATTGAACTCTCTCCACCTGCAGGATCCAATTTCAGGATTCATTTTTCTTATCAATTATAATCTGATGGACAATGCTGCCTTGTCTCTTGTGACGTATTTACACACATGCCACGATATACCTTATTCTCACCCTTTGTGCCATCCTCCCTAACCAGGGGAAACAACCTCGGGCCTGTCTAAGTACCCTCTGTTGATATATGTTAAGACTGGAAGCTCATATTGAGCTGAGGGGCGGTGGGGTAGTCTAGTGGTTAAAGCGTTGGCTTGTCCACGGAAGACCCGGGTTCGAATCCTCTCATGGGTACGTGTGAAGCCCATTTCTGGTGTCCCCCGCGCTGATGTTGCTGGAATATTGCTAAAAGTGGTGTAAACTAAGCTCAGTCAGTCAGTCAGTCATATTGAGCTGTAAGGGGACAGTTTTCATCAATATTTGAAGCATATATTTATAGATTGTGGTGTCAATCTATTTGCAGAATCTCATTTTGAAATACCAGTTTTAATGGTAAAATAATTTCTTAAAACCATTTTGATAATATTTATGTCATAATAATTTAGACTGCACTGATCTCGTGTCTATTGAGTCTGTAATTGTAATTAACGGTACAAAAGTAGCAGCAAGAGTTGTTTCCCTTGGTGGTGGATATGGCGTCATATACCAGTGATGTCTTGTATCCGATGTGTATGTCCTCTTGGCGGCCAGCAGCCCACTATAGCAATACACTACAACGTACAACAATGTTCCAGCATTGTCTATGCACCTCGGCCGTTAACCATGTAACTATGCATGTGTGGTTCCTATACATATTTCAATATTCTATATATTAGGATTACGTCGGTGTTGTGGCGGTGCATTCGTTATTTGTCAATTTGTCATGTGCTATAAATAAAAGAAATACACAAATTAGATGGTTTTGTAGAATTGTTTGTTGTTCCGAGGACAAAACACCAAAGGACTGTCAACAGAAAACAAGGTTATTTATCTCGCCTTGGCAGCGCCATCATACTGTTTGTGGGTTTCACCTATCTGTTGAAAACGCCCATGTCTTCGGCTGATCTGTGACATTATGCAGACTCGCACCACAGTAACGCAGATATACTGTAGATCGCGACGTCCAACTGAACTTCTCTTTAAATTACATTTGTGACGTCATTCCATTGTCTGTTCGCTCCGTTACTTTTCAGGAATGGAGCGATGTGTACCTTAATTAAACCTTCATTTTGTCAGTTTGACATTTAATTTTGATAACAGAAATATTCCCAATACTTTGAATGTAAAGTAAGTAGGGTAATATCCTCGTAACTCTCCATTCCTTAAAAATAATGTGCCTCGGCCCCTCCGGGGCCTCGTCTCCATTATTTTAAAGGAATGGAGAGTTACTCGGACATTACCCTCTACGCACCACAGTAACGCACATATACTGTAGATCGCGACGTCCAACTGAACTTCTCTGTAATGATGAATGGTCCCCGGTGAAATTTGTTCGAGGGATTAAGTATTGTTTTACGCCGCTTTTAGCAATATCACGTTTTAGCAATATCATGTTTGTGCACACGTGCTTGTTGGTGAAAAGGTAAATGCTGCCAACATCAATCAGTAATATTCCATCATCATCATAACCAGACACATTGTACGATGTAGCATCACTATTCTCTGAATATGTATAATTTTGATAGACTACTTTGGGTGGCAGTTTTGGAAGTTGGAAGTCAGATGAGGACAAACTATGGATGAACAACTTCTTTATTCAGGTCATGTGACGTTTCGATACAGATTCTTGTATCGTTGTCAAGCGAGTATCACCTGAATAAAGAATTTGTTCATCCAAATATTTGATATGTACATCTGTTGTGTCATGTACCTGACTATCACAGTCGTAGTAACATATCTAAATTACTCTGCGAAACAATATGTAAAGCGCACGGAAAGGTTTACATTCGGCCGGTTATGTTCTGATTACAGAATAAGTGCGTTGTGTACAACTCCTGCCACGTTGTATTTTCAGCTCATTTAGCACCAGGACACTTTAATCAGGGAGACTATATGTGTAGAGTATCCCTGCTTTATTTCATCGAGAATGGTATCATTACAACAGGTACTTTTGCTCATGAGTATATACCATCATTTCCGCATGGAATAAAGATTCCTCATATAAAAGTCACATAGAGCATTGGTGAGCTAAACTTTTATTTATAGAACAAAATGCCTTAAATAGAAACCTACAATCAAATGAAACAGATATTGTTGATCATTCACGCATCAACAAAGGCAGATAAGGTATCACAGACTTCTTGCAGTGAAGTGAACATGTCCAAACATGATATCATAATGCATCTGGACATCTGTCGGCGCATCCTGGAAAGTACTGACGTCACACGCTTCGCCCGACGTCAAGAGTGCTGTAGGCGAAATATGTCGCCAACAGAAACTACGTTTTACTTGCTTGTACTTGATTTTATCACCTCTATAGAGAGTTGATCCAGCAGCTACTGGTTGGAATTCGCCGACAGATACTATTCACAGAACATGTGACTAAATGTGTCAGAGAGTAGTCTGAGTCACGTGGTACAGTCACCGTGACGGTACACACACCCACGTCTTCAGATTCAGAACATCTCCGTCAACACTTCTACTGGCGCTATGATAACAAGTATAAAACGTTGCATAGAAACAAATTGTAAACATCCGCGAAACGACATCAATGGAAAAATAACAAAATATAAAGCTATATATTACAATTTCTACATTTCAATCCGGTACCGTTATGTGCATATATTAAACATTAGAAAAATAATACATGAACAATTCTAAAAGAATTTACTGCTCAGCCCTACATACGTTCTCATAATATTAACACCAGCAGTTTATTAAATCGTCCTTGCATCATCTCTTCAGTAGGTTGTCCTCAGCACGTGCCGGCGGCCATTTTGTGAATTCTGACCAGTCAAGGTTGGAATGCCTCGTTCCCTGTGGAACACATCAGCACACATTGTTACCGTACACCATGTTGCTACCAATGTAGTTTGGGAAGGCACTGACGTTGCGGCTAGTTTGAGATTATTCCATTTGGAAACATCTATCTTATCCTTGGTTCACACGAACACTTGAGTACATCGTCAATTTTGTACATGACACCATTGGTCGCCATTTGCTCAACCGGCTTCGCCCTTTTCCGCTTATTGATCATTATGTCATTCCGAGAATCTCGCGAGAAGTCGATCTTGTCTCCTTGTCGGGATTTGATGGTGTAGACAGAGTGTTTCTTGGGGATGGCGCACCTGACTACCATGCGGTTGATGATGTGTCTCTCCAGGTACTGGGAATATACACATCTATATCACTATTGCATACAGTTATACGACGCATATACTCATACATCTAACGAATGATGTAAGTGCTATATCAGTTATACCTTCCCTATACTCAGATACATCTAACTAACGATGTAAATGTTATATCATACAGTTATACGACGCATATACTCATACATCTAACCAATGATGTAAGTGCTATATCAGTTATACCTTGCCTATACTCAGAAACATCTAACTAACGATGTAAATGTTATATCATACAGTTATACGACGCATATACTCATACATCTAACGAATGATGTAAGTGCTATATCAGTTATACCTTGCCTATACTCAGAAACATCTAACTAACGATGTAAATGTTATATCATACAGTTATACGACGCATATACTCATACATCTAACCAATGATGTAAGTGCTATATCAGTTACACCTCGCTTATACTCAGATACATCTAACTAACGATGTAAATGTTATATCATACAGTTATACCTTGCCTATACTCAGAAACATCTAACCAGGGACAATCTACAACATTTTTTATACCAACAAATAACCAACCATGTAAATGTTACACCTGTTTCATCCCTTTCGCCGTGCTACGATCGGCAACCATTGGTTTGCACCTCAAGCATACTCGTACGTTTTAGCAAAGTGATGAAACATCTCTGGGCACGGCACGATCAAGGGAAGCAACTCTGTATATCACATGACGGCGTTAATTGGTGGCACAGTAGGACTACAGTCTGGAGCCCTGTTCCACGAGCCATGATGGTCGCAGCGTCGAGGATCAAGAATTCCTTCTAGTCCACCACCCAGTGGTTAGTTAAGTACCAGGACAAAGGCATAACACTCCAAAGGTAACATAGGAGGGTGCCGACTGATCTCCCCGTACGCTACTAAATTCTGAATACTTCACTCTCGAGTTTCCTTACACACCGACGAATACCGAATAATACACAACAAACATCTCAAACAGCATGGAGAAAAGGATGCGATTTCCAGTTAGGATACTGAAGAATTACCTTTCACGCACATCGGTTTACTCCGTGTACCAAATACTATGTGTCATTGTCCCGCTGAGTCCCTAATACCCTCAAAATAGACCCCGAATCTCGTGAAACAAGACTGAATGAGTTGAGTTTTACGCCGCTTTTAGCAATATTCCAGCAATATCACGGCGGGGGACACCACAAATGGGCTTCACACATTGTACCCATGTGGGGAATCGAACCCGGGTCTTCGGCGTGACGAGCGAAGGCGTTAATCACCACCCCCCCGTGAACCAAGAAGGGTTGGTAGTGTCACCCTGAGGGCTCCGCGAAAACCCGCTCTTCCGGGACTGTGTTTAATACAGATGTCGGCCTCGTCACACATATCAACACGTGGAGGGCGACACCGTCACCCATGGGCGTGAGATATTGGGGGCGTGACATGTTGGGGCGTGAGATTTTGGGGGCGTGACATGTTGGGGCGTGAGATTTTGGGGGCGTGACATGTTGGGGCGTGAGATATTGGGGATAACAAGAGAGAAGGAGGATCTGCTCTCCGGTCACCATAGAAACAAATACTGTGACAACAGCAGCAACATCGGTTATGAAACATAAGAAAATCAGAGTCTCTTTGGCCTGATGAATCAAATATGAATCATCTATGTGTGTTGTTTTGTATCTCTTAAACCAAAATAAAATGCTTTGAAATCGCCAAGAATCGTTCACGAATCGCCCTTTGATATGCGTCAGTTTATTCCTTGGGAGCTTTGTTTACAGGTCGAGTGTGTCAACTTCTATATACACCAGGAACCTTCTTCCACACACAGACAGTGTTTGTATACAGTTTACATGATACATGACTCACCTTCTTCAAACGGTCTGGGTTGGTGAGGAGTCGGTCCAGGTTACGCTGACTCATGGAGTCGAACGCTCTGTTCGTGGGGGCCAGCAGGGTCAGTTGGACCGGGGTGGACAATAGCTCACTCAGCCCTGCCGTCTCTAGAGCCTGCCGCAGGGTACTGCCGTACACGAGGAGTGAGTGAGTGAGTGTCTTTTAAAACTTTTGGAATTAAAGCCTGAGGTGACTTTCATCGTAGATGTTGCGTTACTTTGCTTCCTGTTAATGCCCCATTCAGCAATATTCCAGCTATATATTTGACGGCGGTCTGGGAATAACCGTGTCTGGACCAGAATCTTTTGTAATTCACATCATCAGCAACTGTCTACGAAATTGGTCAGCGAGTGTGACGACAACACTCTTACAGTCAGCATTGTCTTTGACGTAACCACCTGGACGAACCCAAGAAGACCAGGTGTTGTGTACATAAATAATCCACGACTTCTAAAGCGGGGAAGGATTACAAAGACGGATTTAGTTTCCATCTGAAGATCCATGTGCTTCCAGACTGAGAGTTCGTCAACAAAAGTACCTCAATACAGGGCTCATTTGTTATATACTAAGCAGCAAAGAAACGTCAGTTTTGAATTTTCCTTCGCAGAAACGTATAACTGTAAACTCATTTAATGTTTTGATTGTACATTTGTGACAACAACTCCAACTTTACCTGAGCAAAGACATTCCTCCCAAAGCCAGGAAATGGTCTCAAAAACACAACCTGATCTCGGAGATGGTACGGTGTTCTCCATGTTTTTCATGCAACTCATGCTGCACGTGCTGTTCACAAGGACCAACCCTATAAAATGCACCCCAAACCTGGTTGAAACATTCACATTACAACGTCAGCAGGATGCCGCGACTCACGACAGCTCAGATGAACCAGGCGCTAGGAAGACTTGAAGCTGGCCACACTGCACAAGCTGTTGCCAATCATTTCCAGGTCAACGTTCGGACCATCTACAGGCTGCAGCAACGTTTCCGGGCCACAAACACCACATATGATCGCCCCCGTACTGGCAGACCAAGGGTTATCACAAGACGACAAGACCGCCATGTTGTGCGACAGCATGTACAGAATCCCTTCATGCAGGCATCCGAAACAGCAAGCCAGACAGTGGGAAGACCAATCAGTACTGACACAGTACGCCGACGTCTTAACAGCGGGAACCTCCATTGTCGTAGACCTTACCGTGGACCTATCCTCACCCCTCGTCATCAGCATGAACGTCTACAGTTTGAACTACAACACCAAAACTGGCGATTCAGGCAATGGAGAACTGTTCTGCTCACAGATGAGAGTCGGTACTGCGTATCAACTGCAGATGGCAGAACAAGCAAATGGCGACGACGTGGCCAGCGTTACTCAGACCAAAGTGTTATGGAAAGAGACTCATGGGGAGGTGCAAGCATCATGGTATGGGGTGGAATATGCCTGAACCAGAAAGTGGGTCCTGTGGTGTTCCAGAACCTTGGTCCAGGGAGAGGAGGCGGCATCACAGCGGTGCGCTACATCGACCAAGCTCTCTGACCCCACGTCATACCACATTTCACACGTCACCGGAACAACATTTCCAGCATGATAACGCCCGGGACCATACTGTCAGAGCTACACGGGACTTCCTACAGCAGAACAGTGTGAACATTATGCAGTGGCCAGGCCTTAGTCCTGATTTAAAACCAATTGAACATCTTTGGGATGAAATTCAGAGGAGACTGAATAATGTCATACCAAGGCCGAAGACAGCCGATTTATTGCGCCAGGATTTTCTCAGAGTGTGGTTCCAGGTGCCAATGGCCTTCACCAATCGATTGGTGCACTCCATGCTTAAACGCTGTGTTGCAGTTATTGCCGCTCTTGGTGGTCACACTAGATCCTGAAGTCAAGGGTCTGAATGGACTGCAAACGTTCACGTAATGTCTTGAACTTGTGCTGAGTTATTTATTGATGTGTCAGGATATTGTACACAATTTTTTAACCGTTTATTATGTCCATTTCTGTAATGATTTGATTACAGCGCCTATCTAATTTTGAATTCGTACTGACGTTTTTTTGCTGCTGAGTATATATATATATATATATATATATAAGGATATATGTGGTTTTCTATACGTATAGACTAATATCCAAGCGAGGTATGTGGTTTTCTAGGGAACTCGTTAACCTCCAGGCGGAAAGGGTTGTCTCCCCTTTCAACACAATGGGTTGTCGCCCCCTGGATGATAGGAAACAAATGAGGATGTTGATTAACATGGTGATTGTATGTACAATTATTGCTTTTATTATTGAGGTTATCATACCTGAGTTCCGGATCAGCCATCACCTGGCCCATGAGGGTGTCCTCCGGGGGCATCAGCACCGTGTCTATCTTGTGTATCACCCCGTTCCCACAAACCCTGTCCTTGTCCAGCACCTTCGCGTTGTTGATGGCCACACCCTGAAAGTAGTCCCGGCTTGTACACAATTCACAACGCCACCTATCGGAGCAGCGTGAGGTCAAGGCCAAACGTGGTCCCTGCATGCATTTACACAACTCGTAACGTCAACGTCAGAGCAGCGTAATGTCAAGGCCAAACGGGGTCGCTTCATGTGAGGATAGCTTCACTTATATGACCTTACACACCCATACATTAGAAAACTGTACCCACTCCTTATTCAGGCATGTATCTACCCATGTCCATACATGTACACAATTACCTTTCATCTGTACAGATACGTACTGAGACGTACATACGTATTGATGTAGGTCCGTGCAGAGGCGTACCTATCTACCACCAGTGAAAACACGAACATATACACCTCCTCTGTACTTACATGTATATCTACCTATTACCTTACATGAGACGCATGCAGATGTTCTTTATGTATATACATGTGAATCTACGTCAATAAATGTACCAGTGACACATGTTACTGGAATGTACAAACGAACCAATGTACATACATGCACACCGTTGTACCGCAACTAACTTATGTACACTATCTACTAGTACATCTACGCCATACATATCCATGAACGCATTTGCCTCACTTGGGTACAGGGATGTACAAATGTACCTACCCCTCGGTAGATGCTGACTTTGATTTTGGCTGACAGACCCAGGTTGGTGTTGATGTCCTGGTCCCCCACCAGTTGGTCGGAGGTAATCTTTCCTTTCATGGTGTGGTAGTCCATCAGCTTCTCCATGGCTAGAGGCTGCGTCCGCAACGCCGCTAGGTACGTCGGCGGCAACTCTGCCACACAGGGAACAACACGGCAACATTGGACTACAACCCTGATCAACTGTTGTTATTTGCTCGGAATATTAAGTCACGTGACTGCAGTCTGTAAAGCATTGATTATGGACTAGACAATCCAGTGATTGACGTCATGAACATCGATCTACGCAACTGGGATACGATGAAATGGATCATCCAAGTCAGCAAGTCTGACCACCTGGCCCTGTAAGTGGCGTCTTAAGACAAGCACGACCAAGTCTAACATATAGTGACATGAACACGGTGATTAATGTTGATTCTGCCTCGACAGTCAGGAATGTAGTCTGCATTCTTTCAAACATGAGTAAGTGGTGTGTGTGTGTGTGTGTGTGCGTGCGTGCGTGCGTGCGTGCGTGCGTGTGCGTGTTATTACCCTTGAGGGTAGTACCAAGGAAAGCAATACATGTCAGCTGGATTGTCTTGGAGGTAAGTGAACTGTTTTCGAAAATGAAATGGTAGGCAGTGGAGTGGTAGATGATACAAAAGTAGAAAACAGAACAGAAGTAAATGTCCTGGGATGAACCACTCAATATGATTCCGACATGCCAGGAGTACGAAAATGGGTGTGAGTTCCAGAGTCATACGAATTCTTGGTGTAGATAGTGGTCTTACTTTTAAAGGCGCTGTCTGTGGGTGCCAGCAGGGTGACCTCCTTCTTGCCCGTCAGTCGGTCTGTCACCTTGGCCTGGTTCGCCAGCTCCATCAACGTGTTCAGCCTCATCTCCCTCGCAACTTCAGCCACCTCCTTCACTGCAACATCAACAACGGAGACAATGAATAGAGAAGTTGCCCGCCCCTTTAGCGTCTAGATTCTCGGCAATATGTTACACTTCTCAATCTTAGAAATCATGTAATAAGCTTCATCATGCTGGGCAATAGTTTCTCCAACCATTGCAAAGATAAACGGATTCCCGAGGCTAGTAGAAGGTTTAAGTGAAAGATCACGTGTTTACGCATGTGGTTCATACCTATGAAACCAGCTTTAATAGGACAAACATTTTCATACGTGCGTATTGTATTTCACCTTAAACCTAAAAGATTTTATGCAAAAACATATCATATCTAACGTACCCGTTAGTGGCTGTAAGAAAAGTGAAATCAAATCAAGAAACATTTGTTAATAACATCCAACTACATCAGCACGTCGTTCCTTTTGCGTGTCATGCTTGACTAAACTGGCGACACCAACTATATAGTCCTGCTGAAATTAAGTTTAAAAATGCAATTTCATTCAATTTGAAAAAATGGTTATTTACGTTATTTTCACATTTTCCCAAGGAGGACGGAACATATTTAACGTATACGGACACGACAGAAAGCCTGAAAGTCCTTTAAGACACGAGGAGTATTCTATATAAGCCAGACAGGGGATAACAACCTCCCCATCAACAGTTCCTTGTCCACCGTGCCCCGTGAAGCAGTGGATCCGTTTGGGGAATATTTATTCTGTTTCATAAAGAGAACTTGATAAACTCGGCATTTTATTTTTAAAACATTTATCAAACAGCAGTAAAGTTTCTATGCTTCTTAAACTCAAGACCTCGTCATGTTAAGGGAGTTCCCGTGTTTTGATAGAGGACTCTACCCAAGTCGCCAGCTCAACCAGCCTGAGGTGGGTTATAGAGCACTGGAGATGGAGAGCAGATAAGCTTCACTTAAAGGGAAACAGCTTTCTTATTGTTGATTTAAAGCGTTGAATTAATTTGGTTTGTTTATTTCATCTTTGATTTGACCCTTGGGATTAATTACTGTCAAATTATGTCATGTTTGATAATTAGATTGCAAGGTTCTTCAAAGATACGCACGCCCATGTTGATTGTTATAATGATACGGGGATATATTTAACGTGTTCCCTATGTGATGTATCAGCTACTGCACTCCTCTAGGACCACGTGTAGGAAGTAGCTCGCCGTGCACACACCGGCCTCACACGAGGCTGTATTGTCACAGAGGGTGTTGGTGGTGTCGGGCCACGTGTGACAACTATGTTTATAAACCTCCCGGCAGGGGACATGCTCAACATAACGTCCCCCACCCACACAAGCATTATGGCATGGAGAACGAGCTTTGTCTCCATTTAGGGCAGGGCAGGGGAAAGAAAAAAGAAAGCAGATGAAGGCTGTAGACTGAGCGCAGGAGAAGAGTGAGTGAGTTTAGTTTTACGCCGCACTCAGCAATATTCCAGCTATATGGCGGCGGTCTGTAAATAATCAAGTCTGGACCAGACAATCTAGTGATCAACAGCATTAGCATCTATCTGCGCAATTGGGAACCGATGCACATGTGTCAATTAAGTCAGCGAGGCTGACCACCCGATCCCGTTAGTCGCCTCTTACAACAAGCATGGGTTACTGAAGATCAATATTCTAAACCGGACCTTCACGGCCAGCGCAGGAGAAGAGGTACAGCAAGACAGATACAAGACAAACACGATGCAGAGGAAATACGGAGAAGATAAGCATTGGTACCAACACAGAAAAACACAGTTACAGAACAAATATATAGGGGAAATGCTATACTGAAAGCAATGTTGAAGTAAATCGCAAAAGAGAATAAGGTAAAGCAATTTAGAGCAGGGGCCCGTAGCTGTATAGAAGGGGTAGAAACTTGTTTGTAGTTTAACGCCGCATTTAGTAATATTTGCAGCTTTATGGCAGTGGTCTGTAGATAATAGAGTCTGGACCAGACAATCCAGTGAACAACAGCATGAGCATCGATCTATTCAATTAGTATAGGTCACGATGCGTATTAAGACAAGCATGGGTTGGTGAAGGCCGATTCCCACCCGGATCTTCACGGGTCAGAGGTAGAGAAGGTATGAATGCAATTGTTTCCAGGGTTACTTAATGTCATGCAACATACCCCGATATGTTTCACTGTGTATTATTGTCTATGTGTATGAACTAGACCTGTGTGTATGAACTAGACCTGTGTGTATGAACTAGACCTGTGTGTATATGAACTAGACCTGTGTGTATGAACTAGACCTGTGTGTATGAACTAGACCTGTGTGTATGAACTAGACCTGTGTGTATGAACTAGACCTGTGTGTATGAACTAGACCTGTGTGTATGAACCATAGCCACTCAAGCAACGTAGAAGCAAAGTAACACCAGCAATGTGGAGGAAAAACAAAGCAGGGCCCGGATCACAGCAGGGGGAGTATTCGATGCAAATCAGAAGAAAGCGACCGTGAAAAATGGGGATACAAATCAGAGGCAACATCGCATGGAATCTAACAGAAATAAAGTTATAATGCAGCATGAAAGGAAACAATTAAACCATTGCCACATTGAAACTTCACCTTCGGTTGTTCAGTTTCACCCACCTGACTCTGGTATGAGGACCTCACCCTCGGTTGTTCAGTTTCACCCACCTGACTCCTGGTATGAGGACCTCACCTTCGGTTGTTCAGTGTCACCTGTTGTTCAGTTTCACCCACCTGACTCTGGTATGAGGACCTCACCTTCGGTTGTTCACACCCACCTGACTCACCTTCGGTTGTTCAGTTTCAGTTTCACCCACCTGACTCTGGTATGAGGACCTCACCCTCGGTTGTTCAGTTTCACCCACCTGACTCTGGTATGAGGACCTCACCTTCGGTTGTTCAGTTTCACCCACCTGACCCTGGTATGAGGACCTCACCTTCGGTTGTTCAGTTTCACCCACCTGACTCTGGTATGAGGACCTCACCTTCGGTTGTTCAGTTTCACCCACCTGACTCTGGTATGAGGACCTCACCTTCACACCCACCTGACTCTGGTATGAGGACCTCACCTTCGGTTGTTCAGTTTCACCCACCTGACTCTGGTATGACCCACCTGACCACTGGTATTCAGAGGACCTCACCTTCGGTTGTTCAGTTTCACCCACCTGACTCTGGTATGAGAGACCTCACCTTCGGTTGTTCAGTTTCACCCACCTGACTCTGGTATGAGGACCTCACCTTCGGTTGTTCAGTTTCACCCCACCTGACTCTGGTATGAGTTTCACCCACCTGACCTCACCTTCGGTTGTTCAGTTTCTCACCCACCTGACTCTGGTATGAGGACCTCACCTTCGGTTGTTCAGTTTCACCCACCTGACCCTGGTATGAGGACCTCACCTTCGGTTGTTCAGTTTCACCCACCTGACCCTGGTATGAGGACCTCACCTTCGGTTGTTCAGTTTCACCCACCTGACTCTGGTATGAGGACCTCACCCTCGGTTGTTCAGTTTCACCCACCTGACTCTGGTATGAGGACCTCACCTTCGGTTGTTCAGTTTCACCCACCTGACTCTGGTATGAGGACCTCACCTTCGGTTGTTCAGTTTCACCCACCTGACTCTGGTATGAGGACCTCACCTTCGGTTGTTCAGTTTCACCCACCTGACTCTGGTATGAGGACCTCACCTTCGGTTGTTCAGTTTCACCCACCTGACTCTGGTATGAGGACCTCACCTTCGGTTGTTCAGTTTCACCCACCTGACTCTGGTATGAGGACCTTCACCATCCTCAGTTGTTCAGTTTCACCCACCTGACTCTGGTATGAGACCTCACCTTCGGTTGTTCAGTTTCACCCACCTGACTCTGGTATGAGGACCTCACCTTCGGTTGTTCAGTTTCACCCACCTGACTCTGGTATGAAGACCTCACCCTCAGTTGTTCAGTTTCACCCACCTGACTCTGGTATGAGGACCTCACCTTCGGTTGTTCAGTTTCACCCACCTGACTCTGGTATGAGGACCTCACCTTCGGTTGTTCAGTTTCACCCACCTGACTCCTGGTATGAGGACCTCACCTTCGGTTGTTCAGTTTCACCCACCTGACTCTGGTATGAGGACCTCACCTTCGGTTGTTCAGTTTCACCCACCTGACTCTGGTATGAGGACCTCACCTTCGGTTGTTCAGTTTCACCCACCTGACTCTGGTATGAGGGACCTTCGGTTGTTCAGTTTCACCCACCTGACTCTGGTATGAGGACCTCACCTCTTTCACCCCACCTGACTCTGGTATGAGGACCTCACCTTCGGTTGTTCAGTTTCACCCACCTGACTCTGGTATGAGGATCACCACCTTCGGTTGTTCAGTTTCACCCACCTGACTCTGGTATGAGGACCCCACCCTCGGTTGTTCACTTTCACCCACCTGACTCTGGTATGAGGGACCTCACCTTCCGGTTGTTCAGTTTCACCCACCTGACTCTGGTATGAGGACCTCACCTTCGGTTGTTCAGTTTCACCCACCTGACTCTGGTATGAGGACCCCATCCTCAGTTGTTCAGTTTCACTCACACTGACTCTGGTATGAGGACCTCACCCTCGGTTGTTCAGTTTCACCCACCTGACTCTGGTATGAGGACCTCACCTTCGGTTGTTCAGTTTCACCCACCTGACTCTGGTATGAGGACCTCACCTTCGGTTGTTCAGTTTCACCCTCCTGACTCTGGTATGAGGACCTCACCCTCGGTTGTTCAGTTTCACCCACCTGACTCTGGTATGAGGACCTCGTCCACGCCGTGAAGCACGCCGTTGCTGGCTGACACGTCGCCGTCCACGACCCGAGCCTTGTCGAAATAGACGCCATCCCGTTTACACTTCATCATCATCATGGATTGATCCAACGACTTGACGCCCATGGCGATGACGACGGCGTCCTTGCAGTAGACACCCTTGATGATATGCTTCTTCAGCACCTCTGGTGACAAGGGAGTTGATGGATTCATTGATTTGTGACGTTTTTAACAATATTCCAACAATATCACATCTCGTGCCACCATAAATAGGCTCTAGGAGTAATACCCATATCAAGATTTAAACTATAGTGTCCTTTTTTATGTAAATCTGCATTAAAGGAAGAAACATGTAAAAAGTTTCGTTAATTTAGTAGTGATTGATGTTATGCCGCTTTGGACAATATTACAGCCATACCACGGCGGGGCACACGTGGCCGTCAAACATTGTATTCATGTGAGGAATCGATTATTCACGAGCTGTTGACGATAACCCAAAGATATTCAGTATTATGTCCTATATCATGAAATACAAAGAATCTTAATCTTATTAAATCCAGCCGTGGATCCGAGTAAGTGAGTGAGTTTTACGCCGCACTCAGCAATATTCCAGCTATATGGCGACGGTTTGTAGATAATCCAGTCTGGACCAGACAGTGATCATCAGCAGCATGAGGCATCGATCTACGCAACTGAGATACGATGACATGTGTCAACCAAGTCAGCGAGCCTGACCACCCGATCCCGTTAATCGCCTCTTACGACAAGCACGAGTTACTGGAGATCAATTCTTACCTGGATCTACACGGGCTGGGGTAACTTGAAGGTTAAAGCGCTCGCTCGTCACCCCGAAGGCGCGGGTTCGATTCCCCAAAAGCATACAATGAGTGAAGCCCAATTCCGGTTTACCCGACTATAGGAAGTCACGTCAAGTTAACTTTATAATCAGAAAATCGACATTTTTAATTCAAGCCGCATAATCGTATCACGAAAGTAAATGGGTAATTCCCGGAAAAAATCTTGCGCTCATAAATACTTAAAACCTTTTTGGAGCGTCCTGGGATCTTCTCTCCCGAAGACGTGGATACCCATGTGAATCTAGATCGATTCCCGTACCCACCCATCCATCTATCCAACCACCAACCCATCACAAACCTACCCACCCATCACCTACCAGGGGCTTTTTGAGGGAGGGGTGGTGGTGCACAGTTCATTTTCACCCGCTTTCACGAGGGTTTCAACGGTCATTTAATAAACTTTCAGGACAAAAGGGGATGGGGGGTGCGCATACCTGCACCCCTCTTCCGTGTAAGCCTATCTACCCACCCACTATCGATGCACCTACCCACCCATAACGGTCCTGTTCTACACAAGAGCGTACATGTGGTCAACGTTGCGATTGTTACGATGTCACGTGACCTACTTTGAGCTGTGTCTGTGTCTGTGAGAATGGAGTCCAACAGTTCACTGGGGAGCTTGGCGAAGGCTTTGTTGTTGGGGGCAAGGACGGTGTACTCGACGTCCTGTCGACGTAGGTCGTTCGCCATCTCCGACGTGAACAACGCTAGCTGGAACTGAGAGTAGTCGTCGTCGCTGAAAATCTTCTCCGCCAACGTCCCCTCCGTCTCTAGCGGCTTCATCACCTGGACCGCAAAGTGAGTGAGTGAGTGAGTGAGTAGCAGTGTGTGCAACAATCTGATTGATAAAAAACGTTCAGCACATTCCAATTAAAAGACAGTAGGCCTAAAGAGGTTTTCGTAGAAAAATAAGACGTCGTACACTGTTTACAATTATCAATGGCGGTTTGGATATTCCTGTGGTTGTCTATAGACCCTCCCACAACACAGCTCTATATACAGCTTAGGGATGCTGGAATGTAATCAGGTTGGCTACTGTCAGTCGAAGCACCACAGTGCACAACCACTCTATTAAATATTAACCGCCCGCGGCTTTGATCTCGCGAAAAAGGTATTGGTATAGGCTCTGAAACCAACAAACAAGCACGATAAGACGAACAGTTTATCTCGTAAATAAAGATGTTGACATTATAAACTTGGCGGTGTCACGTCCGCACACCCTCACCTTGCTTCACACCAGGTACTCGGGTTTGCTCATAAAAACAAATCAAACGCGGTTGCTTCTCGGCTTTTTGCAATCGGAAAGGGCGGTAACTCTCGGTCTGACGACCTGGTCTTGGACATTCAAAACAATCTTACGATTATCGTACGATGCATTTTCTAAAGATGTCGAAAGAATGTCATAATTCTTAAGACGGTTCCATTCCTGTCTATTTTCAACCTCATCTCCATATAAGATGACTGCTCACTTAGACCTGCCAAATAGATGATGATGATGATGATGATGATGATGATGATGATGATGATGGGGTGGTGGTGGTGGTGGTGTCATTCATTGCTGCTATCGATGTTAGAAACCACGGACCGGAAATAGTCCGTGTTAACATCCTCTGACTGATTGACACAACTAAACAAAATTAAACCCGATTCTTACATTGATCTGTATATATTTGACGCCACATGTTGAAGTTTCACCAAGGCAATATACAACAGTTATAGTTCAAACAATAACATCATTCTTTATAAAACTGTGAAAATACATTTTTGGTTCAGCCCTATCCTCGCAAGGAGCTGGCCAGCATTACATGTTTCTGAAGATTTCACTGATATGCAACTTCGAAGATATTTGAAACAGCGAATGTCTAGAAGGCTTGAGATAAATAAAATAACCCAAACACTTGAAGTTGTTCACTGGTCACGAGGGGGATGTGGGTCCCGATGGACCAGTGAACAATGTATTTATCTTAACGAACACCTCAATGTGAATTTTGAACTGTTTGAAGCACGGGTATTGGATCATAATAAGGAGTACCAGAGTTAGGCAACAACCCAAACACTACAAACACGAAGTACCAAACGAATTCCCCAAGTTCGGCATTTCCGGCGGGTAACATAGAAAATGTTACTCGCTTGCAAGCGGGGTACATTGATTGGCTCAGCCAATCAGAAAACAACATTTAGTTTAGAGGTACGATAAATAGCTTATCCATGTATAGCACCTATAGTCTACAAGTACTACTACTATATACTGCTGCTGCTGCTGCTGCTACTGCTACTACTACTACTACTACTACTACTACTACTACTACTACTACTACTCCCTCACTCCTACTAACTACTACCTACGTGTTAAACCGGACAATTAAACTGGGACGTCACTGTCTGGAATATCGAGGTGTAAATGTTGTATACATTTCCCATAGGCCCACCTGATGACTTTATTCGGGGTGTGACCATTGTTTATTGACAGCGAGCAGCTTTGTATAAATCCTTTCAAATGCGATTCCCCTTTGTATTACGTAATCCTCTCGAGAAGAATGAAGCTACATGATTGTGGGCATATCCGTATCATCCGACATACAAACTCGCGCCAAATAAACAATATAAGAAACGTCATTGTTTCGTCGCGGCTGCTGGTAAACATATCAAAGTTGGCCATGATTGTGTAGAGATCGACCCCAGAATAGAAACTAAATAATCCGCGATACATGCAGGTGTAAGGACGTGATGCTTTTCTATAAACTATCTCAAATAATGTTTGTGTTGAACATTCTTCAGCTTATGATATTGAGGAAACTTGATCGTACTGTCGTCACTGAGACGGCGTTCTACACGCGGGGAACGTGCAAGGTCAGGCTTGTGTGAGACTGTTCACTGTAGCGCTGTATGACGCAATTCTATTCCAGATAATAAAAAACCCATCACATTATATTTTCTGTTACTTTTTTGTTGTTTTGCTGAAAGCTATGGTAATTAGACATTGTTGGGACGGTAATGGCATGATTGTGAGGTCGTCGGAGTGGACGTACCTGAAGCATGAATTCAGGTTCTTTAAGTTGGTTAATTTGGTTTATTTTACCTCATCATCATCATCATCATCATCGCTGGTGGCAACTGCACGTATATATTTTCAGCGTCATTGGCTGATTATGTTTTGCGCAATATCTCCCTATACATCACAAACCATGCGGATCACGCTGCAGTCGAGTTCCGGCGACTGGGCGATATTGGCAGATGTACGCATACCGTTAAGTACAACGTGGAACATGACTGCGCAGGTTAATATGCTACTCTCATTTACAATTCAAATATTGACTGCTGGTTCGGTAGACATAATATAAAAGTATATCATATTTGTAAACAATAATGTCAATGCCCCATGGCAGGAATCCTGTCTCTCCTGTGTTGCAAGTACAGAGTAGTTAGACTTTCACTGCATGAAGCCTTTCGCTCAGGGCTTGTGAGACGTTTAGAAATAATATAACTTGCTTTCCTTTTCGGCTCTTTCATACACTGTGTCAACATAAATTTCAATGCTAACAGTTTTGATAACATTTTATAATAAAGATAGTTAATCAGTAAACTATTAACACATGTTGTCCCTGTTAAACAGAACCTTCGCCATTTCATCTACAACAGTTGAATTTAGCGCCACAAATCAAGCGAAGCAAAACTTGTAAAGTATTGTCACGTATTCGTCGTTTTAGTTCCCATGGCAACGTAATTTGTGAGATTGTTTGGGAACCTTGTAATCACCTTTGAATATCAGTTAACCACACATGCCCATATAGTATCACACTACCACCCATGTATTGGTTTACTGACAGGATCCGCTGCCAACAGTTCCAGAAAACGAGTAAATTCAACAGCATTGTCTAAGAGTCCTCACTGGCGTCTAGGCGGTAGAGGACCACGTACGATATACCACTCATTCACTGCGTTCAGGGGCATGTCTTGACCAGTGCTGTCCCTTTTGACGGCCAAAACTAAATAGCCTGATACCACATGACCTAGACTAACAACTAGTCTCTGAAATGAACATATTTTACTGAAAAATGTTCATAGTAAAAAAAAAAAAATATAATGAAAAGGAGCCCTGAGACCTTCTTCGAGGAAATCTAGACTTGCCACATTTTCTAGACTTGTGTGGGCTCTCTTGGATATATTTGCTTCAGGGTCTGTACGAGAGACTACACATGACCGTAAGCACTTCAGCATGATGGTGTTTGGGTGTTTTTTCTTTAACTTGACCTTTCAGTGATGACTTTATGCTACTGCTATAACTTACCCCATCGATAACATGGACTATCCCATTGGTGGCAAGTTCATCAGGTCTCTCAAGTCGGGCGCAGTTCACTGTTGTCACCTAGGGTAAGATAAGTGCTTGTTATTATATTTCTCCCTAAATAAACATGTCAGCACCTACCGAATCATTCAATTGCCTCGATGTGCATGGACTGACTGACTGAGTTTGGTTTTACGCCGCTTTTAGCAATATTCCAGCAACATCACGGCGGGGGACACCAGAAATGGGCTTCACACATTGTGCCCATGTGGGGATTCGAACCCGGGTCTTCGGCGTGACGAGCGAACGCTTTAACCATTAGGCTACCCCACCGCCCCTGATGTGCATGGATATTTACATTATAAATAAGTATTTGATAGTACTCCACGGCAGGGAAATCGAGGTGCTGGTTCTGTTAGAGGTTTGGTCTTGGGTCGGTAGAGAGACTACCGAGAGACTCACGACCACCTGTATGCTGATGTCATACCAGGGTTCTTAATCGGATCGAGGCTGGGGAACAGAGAACGAATGGTGTTCGTCGACTGATAAACATTCTCCAGGACGTCAGCATGACGTTACAGAATCACCAGGAAGGGGAAGTCTTACCCCAAAGGCATACTTTATGACTCTGAGTTTTTCATCTTTGTACAGAGTATTGTAAGCATAGTCCCCACGACGCATGTCGCCGATGTTGATGCGGCCGGGCACGATGTGGTACAGCATCGTCGACTCGTCGGCAGGGTTCGTTGGTACCAGACTTTGCCTGTGAATGAGACAACACAATTAACAACCTTGCTGGCGGATTGACACGTCAACATATTCCAATGACGTCCGTTCTAACAGTGAAATGTCGTTATGCAATATCCAAACATTAAGTACGATAGATAGGTAAAGTTGGTATACTACATCACGAGTGTATGTACTTTTACGCCGTTCTTCGCAATTCCAGCAATGTCGCGATTGTGGACCACTAGAATAACCAAAATCCCTAACCCCCTTACAATCAAAGGCTGTTGTTTTCTATGCAGTATGTAAGGAGAGAAGTATTCCTCTCAGTACCGAAGATCATCACAATTACTGGATCGTATAGTCAAGGCCCACATCGGACAGTCATCCATTCTCAGAACAACTCACTTGACATCCGGCGGTGCTTCTCGGAACGCTCTGTTGTTGGGGACAAACACGGTATAGGCTCCCCCTGTGGACAGCTGGTCAAGGAGGTCCGCCTGTCTCGCGTACTTGTTGAACTCCATCTGTCCAAGACTGCGGGCAGTTTTCACTATATCCTGGACTGGACTCACTTAAAAAAACCCCACAGCTACATGAAGGAATAATCACAAAAACACAACGAGAATGCTCACAGTTACCCAGCAACAACACAAAGGTTGGTCAGATACCACAGCGTGTCAGTTTAATGAGTGGGTAAAGTCTGAGGTGATGCATGAAACCCATTAGGTAAAATTATGCTTAAAAAATATTGGAAGTGGGAGGAGGGGGGCAATTGATTTTGTACATGACATGCGGGGTGGGGTGGGGGTGGGGGTGGGGGTGGGGTGTCGCTTTCTTTGTACATAAATTTTAGGGGAGAGGGGCATTCACATTGGACATGCTACTCCATAAAAATCATCATCATCACACACATCCCCCCCCGGCCGTAAAATATGAACGGTCCCTTAACTGAATTATATATAACGCTACATGTCATACATTTCGCCAAGAAACACGTGACAAATTTCATAACTCGCACCCTAAAACATCATCTCAGTTTCCAAGGCAATCGAATAACAAAGTTCATCGATAGTAAGTTTAATTCAATGAAACTGTGTCGTGACACTTCATCAACAAGAAGAACGTTTAGACTATCTTCATGAAGCTGAGCAACAGTTAATATACTGCCACCAGTCATCACCATGAGTTTTCTTGTCGAGTGTATCTACTGTGATATACCGTATATATCTACTGTGTATAACTTTGCGCCAACAAGTCGCATCGAACACCAAATAACATCCACAACCATTAACAATTAGTCCACGACATGCTATTAATACATCTCCCGTGCCTGTCCGATGTATTGTTTTTGAAATTTATACCACAAGAAGCAAAATAAATCAGTTCCTTCCCCACAGGCCCGATATCGCCGATATAGGTTATACCGCACAGGGCTCGCCGACCTTCCCACCAATAAACACAGGGTATTTTTACACGTGACCGACTCCCAAAGACTTCTATGTACTTTACCACTTTAGGGACCATTCATAATTTAAGGCTGGGGGGAGGGGGTGGGGGTTGATGATGATTTTAAGGGGGGTCACCCATTTTGTTCTGGTCATCAATTTTGTACACACGCACTAAGGGGGTAGGGTGTCAGCATTTTGTACATAAATTAATGTTTAAAATTATACTTAGAAATTATGGGAATGGGAAGGGGGGACATTGATTTTGTATATGACATGCAGGGGAACACACACACACACACACACACACACACACACACTAGCCATAAATTATGAACGGTCCCTTATGCTATCGTACATAAGTAGAAAGTCCTGTTAACAGAGCTCTTGGTGGTTGTAGATCAAACATCAGGACGATTCAATTAAACGTAGTAATCGTAGCCATGTCTGGCAATATAATTTGGCTGAAATGTAGGATATGTCCATATCAGCCTCGTGGACATTGTCCATATTAGTCTTGCGGACATTGTCCATACCAGCCTCGTGGACATTGTCCATATCAGTCTTGCGGACATTGTCCATACCAGCCTCGTGGACATTGTCCATATCAGTCTTGCAGACATTGTCCATACCAGCCTCGTGGACATTGTCCATATCAGCCTCGTGGACATTGTCCATATCAGTCTTGTGGACATTATCCCTATCAGCATCGTGGACATTGTCCATATCAGTCTTGTGGACATTGTCCATACCAGCCTCGTGGACATTGTCCATACCAGCCTCGTGGACATTGTCCATATTAGTCTTGTGGACATTGTCCATATCAGCCTCGTGGACATTGTCCATATCAGTCTTGTGGACATTGTCCATACCAGCCTCGTGGACATTGTCCATATCAGTCTTGCAGACATTGTCCCTATCAGCATCGTGGACATTGTCCATATCCGTCTTGTGGACATTGTCCATACCAGCCTCGTGGACATTGTCCATACCAGCCTCGTGGACATTGTCCATATCAGTCTTGTGGACATTGTCCATACCAGCCTCGTGGACATTGTCCATACCAGCCTCGTGGACATTGTCAATATCAGCCTCGTGGATATTGTCAATATCAGTCTTGTGGACATTGTCCATATCAGTCTTGTGGACATTGTCCATACCAGCCTCGTGGACATTGTCCATATCAGTCTTGCAGTCGTGACATATCCGTCTTGTGGACATTGTCCATCCGTGGACATTGTCCATACCAGCCTCGTGGACATTGTCCATCAGTCTTGTGGACATTGTCCATACCAGCCTCGTGGACATTGTCCATACCAGCCTCGTGGACATTGTCCATATCAGCCTCGTGGACATTGTCCATATCAGTCTTGTGGACATTGTCCATATCAGTCTTGTGGACATTGTCCATACCAGCCTCGTGGACATTGTCCATATCAGTCTTGTGGACATTGTCCATATCAGCCTCTGGACATTGTCCATACCAGCCTCGACATTGTCCATATCAGTCAGCACTATCCATATCAGTCTTGTGGACATTGTCCATAAATGACATTGTCCATAAGCTATCTATAGCTGAACACATAACTTTATAGCTAACACATTCTGATTTATAGCATTTACCGATATAGATTCTAACAGCAGTATCAAACTGCAACGGTGGAAGAATCAACATCGGAACATCACTGAAAGCAGTAAAGCCAGAATCCGTTATACATAAACTTGTATGTTTTCTCATTTACTCACTGCTTCTAGACTGTCATTCAAACATCCCCCGCGATGTACTCACCCCCCGTGCAGCCCTTCTCCCCCTTTATCTTGTGGTATCCGGAACAGCAATGGAAATTTACAAACCTGAAAGAGTATTGGGAAATACGTCAGTGTGGGTAACACAGGTTTAGATTAGTTCAGTATTCTTGTGTGTAAGTGAAAGTTGTTTTAAGAAGCAGTCAGCACCATTTAAGCTTTATCTCGTATATCTATACAATATATATGGGTCTTGGCCAATTAAACCATTGATTGTTGTCATGAACAACGACCCACTGCTTCCGGGTTCAATGTGGTTACGTATCATCGTACATTAAGACTAGTATGGTGCAATAAGTACCAAGATCGCCCAGGAATCTAAGATAATTTCATCGGATCTTAACAACTAAGGGACGCAACTCCGCACAGGAAGGTGCTGTCCCGTACGACTCGGTCGACATATGAATATAGACTCCGTGATAACTATTGTAATGAAATAATCAGGGTTAATTGTGAGTTCGTTTCCTGTTTAAACGTTGGCTGAGGGTTGCGATGCATGTTGGGTAGAGGTTATTGACAGCACGAAGAGCGTGTGCAACGGCTGATTGGGGCAGACACGAGTCTGTGTGGAGAAGATTAGAGGAAGAACACCGTGACACGCTGTCAATGACTTCCTTGTCTTCTCATTTACAGAATAACATAAACTGGGGTATTTCTGTCACACAATAAATGTTTACAAAATAAATTTGCAAAATAGTTTTCTTCCCAAGAAACTGTCACTGTCCGAAAATATACAACTGCCTATCTAAGGTGATAAGTCCTCTGCATTTGCCAAACATTCAGCGAAATATCAACGCATCCGAATAAATTCACCCACAAACTGAAAGAACGAGTAAATGCATCTGTCCGTAATTGTAAAGACAATAAACCAATATTTTGATACTTTAAACAGTCCGGAAAGAAAGACGCATGTGGTGTTTCTGTTTGTGATGACGGTAAGATAGATGTTAACACCGTGGAGTCCTGTAGAAATCATTAGCGGGTTGCAGTTGCGCTAGTCACAGTTAAGTCTCAACCTCTGTCCACCAGTCAAGGAGTATATCAGTCACTCGATCTACGAGAACACGATAGCAAATAATTGGCAGGGCACTTAAGTCTTTAAACGGAGGCACGTGAAAGACTTGGCTCTCGTCTTTGACATGTTGCATGCCATCTGGAGAGCCAGTTTAAGCACATGCACCATTGCAGAACGTGTATCACGGTTCCTGCTACGGAGCCTGATCCAGGGGTAAGCGAACTTTGAGAGGGATTCCTCAGTAAGACCGAGTCAATACAAAGGGCGGATGTAGAATGCATGTTATTCTATTGTCATACTCGTTAAATAGAAGCAAATACTCCGGCTAGCCAACCTGCCACTCCTGGCATGGGCGCCTTGGTGTTGAATTTGTAGTATAGATCCAGGTGAGAGGTGTTATCTAACACATGTGTCAGTGAGTGAGTGAGTTTAGTTTTACGCCGCACTCAGCAATATTCCAGCTATATGGCAGCGGTCTGTAAATAATCGAGTCTGGACCAGACAATCCAGTGATCAACAACATGAGCATCAATCTGCGCAATTGGGAAGCGATGACATGTGTCAACCAAGTCAGCAAGCCTGACCACCCGATCCCGTTAGTCGCCTCTTACGACAAGCATGAGTTACTGAAGACCAATTCTAACCCGGTTCTTTACGGGTTGGGGTAACCTGAAGGTTAAATTGTTCGCTCGTCACGCCGAAGGCGCGGGTTCGATTCCCCCAAAACATACAATGCGTGAAGCCCAATTCCGGTTTCCCCCACCGTAAGTGGCGAAAAACCCGACTATAGGAGGTAACGTGAAGTTAACTTCATAATCAGACAAGCATGGGTTACTGAAGATCAATATTCTAACCCGGACCTTCACGGGTTCTAACACATGTACCACATAATTTTTACACGAGGAAGAATAAATTATGTTTGATTTTCAAAGACTCGTCTCGTGTAGGCTGAAACGTGGCCTAATATGCGGACTAAGTAGGTTCTTGTAAGCCGGATGACCTGCATCCACCTTTGGCGTTTTCCGTCCGTATTCTTCATACGTCACGAGTCGGGTCTGGGTTCGGAGTTTACCGGAGTCCATAGACTCAAGGACAATTCTTCCCTATCACCCTCGTGTACTTACGTGGGACGCTCACATATCATCCTCATGGCCTTGCCCCCGAAGCAGCTGGTGAAGTACTTGTCGCCAGTCCCATAGGCCTGTTGGACGACACACACGTTGGGCCTGCAGGCAAATATGTATCAATGTATCAGCCGTACAGTTAACGTAGATATATAATGGTATACAGAGTGAGGTGGAACATATAGTGGGCATTAGGTAATTAGGTGCCTGGCTCTGATGGTGTGGGTTCGAATCCCGGATGGGACTCAACCCAACAAAAGTACTAGAATCTGTACTTTACTGAGTAAGTGCAATCGCAATATAACATATGTTACATTTGACCACTTCCTAAATGGCACTGTGTATTCACAGATTGAGATGGGTTTGCAGAGCCTTGAACTTCAGCTAATGGGGGAGCCTAAGTGATGCGGTTGCAGGTCTTCAAGACCTGACCAGGCGTGGTGCTTTATAACCAATGATCAAAATCAGAGAGATTCTGGGATTCGAACCTACGATCAGCACATCCTGCACCACTAAATAACGCAGATAACTGTAGCGTATTGGACGACTGGAAACGTCAAACTGTATAGCGTAATTAAAGAGGATCAAACACGACAACACAGGGTACACTGACTTGATGGTATCTCGAACCACTGTCTGAAACCGAAACAAATGTATTACAGATTATTCGTCATGATGCTATTTTGCTACTGGCATATTGTAAATAGTATATTGTATCAGTGTTCGTCTGTTAACTGGCGTGAAATGTATCGCATCTAATTAACCACAGAAAACAGCGTGTATGAGATACCAGTGTGGCCACCTGTAAACGAACTCCAGACAGTGGGAGGTGATGACAGTGGGTCTGTTTACAGATGTATCTAACTGATAGGAAACACGTGGTAACTGAGGAAACAATACTCTCTAACACAACAAAGGCAACATGAGACGGTTAGATACTCCCCTCGCCAGCAGCTGTAGACGCTCACGAGCAACTTGACGGTGGGGAGAGGGTGGAATGTAGTGGAGAGGGTGGCGTTAGCCAAGGGCGTCGTGGTCGGTGTAGAAGCAGTTGTTGGCACTACTTGAGTGTACACCTGGACGGTGGGGATAGGGTGGAATTTTAGTGGAGAGGGTGGCGTTAGCCAAGGGCGTCGTTGTCGGTGTAGAAGCAGTAACTGTTGTTGGGACTACTTAAGTGTACACCTGGACGGTGGAGATAGGGTGAATGTAATTGTGGTAGTCATGGTAGGTGTAGTAGCAGTTGTGCTATAATGAGCATTAATGCCAAAAGGTCGAAAGAAGTATTAGTAGTGCTAATACATGTAGTAGTAGTAGTAGTAGTAGAAGTAGTGGTAGTAGTAGCAGCAGTAGCAGAAGCAGCAGTTCTTCTAGTAATAGTGGTAGTTGTTGTAGTGGTACCAGCAGTTGTACTAGTGATGACAGTGGTGGTAGTAGTTGTGACAGAGAAAGTAGTTGTGGTCTTGTATTGGTATAGTTGAAACAGTATCAGAGTGATTGAATATATTTTTACGCCGTGTTTAGCAATATCCCGACGATGGACACCGGAAATCTTCTTCGCACATCGTATCAATGTTGGGAATCGAACATGCGTGAGGTGTGAACGCTTTAACCATTAGGCTACCGCCCATAAACGCTTGGTCAAAAAGTGTTGGTTTTTCAGAACGGTTCCGTTAACGCAATTTGTTAGTGATGGAAAACGCCGAAGCTCTGTGAGAACTGTCATGCTGAGAGAGGCTTTCCTCTCATTTAAAGATAATGCATGGAGAATTTGCCCTTGTCGCCGAGTTATACAGAAAGGTTATATTTCATTGTGAGCATAGACCAAGTCAAAGTTTAAAGTATCTCTTCATTTGACCATCTACCTGTCATCGTGAAGTCATATCTTCTCTAAATGCCCACTTCAATTAGTGTCGAAGTGTTTGACGTAGAAATTCTAAGATGCCCGCCAAAGTGAAACCAAAAACTGGGATCAATGATTTTCTGATTTTCAACTCCAGAGAGTTCTAGAGAGCAAAATAAAACTTGGACTAAACTGCCCGAATATTATAAATGGTTTGATAAGTGTATTGGTGGAAAGATTTTCCAAAAGTTACAGGACAAGGCCCAAAGACCGGGGTTCGATTCCCCACATGGGTGCAATGTGTGAAGACATTTTCGGTGTTCCCTTCCATGATGGTGGAATGGTGCTAAACGCGGCGTAAAACTCACTCACTCCTGCTGTCACTTAAACGTAAGCTAGTCTTAGCACTAAGATCGCTTTGAGCAAGTTGACTCAGGCGGGTGGGAGGACTCGCGAGGGAGAGAATGAATATCTCATTTTACTGCATTAGCAGCTAATTTTTCTGCAAACAGCACATGGGAGTTCCCCTTTAAATTAAACTGTTTGGTAAACACGCAGCGACTGGCTACATGTCAATTTCCTCAAATTGCTTCACACACTGTCTGGGGTTACGTAATGTGCAGGTAATTGGCCTCTGTGTGGGGATGTTGGTATGTTACCCCGCGTACCCTCCAGTCCGGGCGTAAATGTCAACGCACTCATCACACATTGCCGATACGTGAGAATGTCACGCTACCCTCATCCCCCTCCCTCACGCCGTCACCCCTGGGGAACGTATACAGACTGTTCGTCTCAGGATTATTGCACAATTGTGTCAGTCGGAAACCCTCGATAGGATGCGGAACTGCTACACTTCTATCGGTTATGCAACATCCGATTGTATTTTTCAGCTTGTTCACCTCATCAAACCGCTGACTGTGCAGATATGCACTTCGATTTTCGTTTTGTCAAGTCAAGCTCCTATTATCCAAACCTAGGAGGTTTGTGTAGGTGTAACGTATATTTCTAATATGTTTGATAGAACAAAACCAACTTAAGTTCATTGAAGCTGTGCTCTTGTTTATGTGATACTTACATACACCCCCTAATATACACATCCATATACAGTCAGACCTCGTTAATACGAACACTTTGTTTTTTTTAAAAAAACGTTAGGATATTGAAACGTTCGTATTGCTGAAACCACAGTATATGCGCCGAGTTACTTCCCCTTGATATCTTTCCTTACTATCGAGACTCTGATGTCATAGATGAAGCCTATGTTTATGAAGGAAATTATAAGCCTGTAAAACGTGCCTTTTTATATCGATCTGGAGGCCTTCGGCATCTACAGACCGACCCGAGGCACCCGGCATCGTCAGTCGGAAGTACCCAGTAGCTACTGATCGATCTTGGTCACACCCGCACCCGGCATGTCAGACCGGAAGTGATAGCATAGATCGGTCACACATTGTTTGAAAAATGCCTCTGTTCACCCACCAGCGAGTTGGTACCCGATGGGATAAGATGATGACGTGACAACAGAACCTACTAGCTTATTGTAGACAATATGGGCTGTATGCAGGAGCTGAGAATGTAACGGAATCCGAATGGTTGACCGGGGTAACATTGTCCTGTACTCTGAACAGGTTCCTGTCGTTAGAGTATAGGTCGTTTATAAATCATAATCATGGTATCTGCGGTGGGGCACGGGGCAAGCGGTATCTATTGAGGGGACCAGGCCGGGCACCCGGTATCTATTGAGGGTAAGCCGGGCACCCGGTATCTATTGAGGGGACCAGGCCGGGCACCCGGTATCTATTGAGGGGACCAGGCCGGGCACCCGGTATCTATTGAGGGGACCAGGCCGGGCACCCGGTATCTATTGAGGGTTCCAGGCCGGGCATCCGGTATCTATTTAGGGGACCAGGCCGGGCACCCGGTATCTATTTAGGGGACCAGGCCGGGCACCCGGTATCTATTGAGGGGACCAGGCCGGGCACCCGGTATCTATTGAGGGTTCCAAGCCGGGCACCCGGTATCTATTGAGGGGACACCAGGCCGGGCACCCGGTATCTATTGAGGGGACCAGGCTGGGCACCTGGTATCTATTGAGGGGACCAGGCCGGGCACCCGGTATCTATCGAGGGTTCCAAGCCGGGCACCCGGTATTTATGGAGGGTTCCAGGCCGGGCACCCGGAATCTATGGACGCAGGGTGCACCTACCCTTCAGCGTATCTCCTGAGGTATGCCGGCAACCGCCGATGTCTTGCTCCGTTCACCAAACTCAGCACTCCCAAGATGATGTATACCAGGTGCTTCATCCTCTCGAAAACAAACCCTGAAACAAATAATAACTGTCACTCAGGTAATAACCACTGGACAATATCGGACAATATTTTGAGATCGAGCAACCCCATACACTGGATCCCATCATTGCCTGTCGTCCGGGAAAGTCGTAAGATATGTTTGTATGATTATCTTGCCTCGGTGGCGCAGGCTATTGTTTTAAGCAGTTGCTTGTCGTGAGTTTATTCCCGGTGGTACATTGTGTTAAGGTATGTATCTGTGTCCCCCGTCGTGATATTGCGGAACTGGAATTCCTTGTCTTTAATTACGCTCGCTCACAATCGCCAAGCAGCACCAGCAAACGGCAGGAGTCGCAGCTGGGCAGTTGGCGGGATGCCAGAGAACCAGTCCGACAGACGTACATGACTAATTAACAAAACGTCACTAAATAATCACTAAACCCCACTCAGCCACTACAGAATCTACACGGAATTACCAACTAGGAAGCCATGTTCATGGCTGACCTTCATAAACTTATCCCTCAAGGTCAGATGACGTCTTTGCCGTCGGGCAACACGGGGCCCCAAATGCAAACCTACCGAGTCGGATATCTGGATAAATAAACCAATAATGTGATACACATAAACGTTGAAAATATATGGATATCAACTTCTTTATTATGAGGGACGCTACATTTCAGAGTATACCTTAACTCCTACATCAGGTGCTTGAAGGTGGAGGAATATACTCTGAAACGTCGTGTTCCTCATAGTAAACAATACAAGTTGGTATCCATACGTTTTCAATAATGTGGGTGTCCCTTGTTCTGCATGGATAAAGTGGCGCAGTTCGATCTGGTAGTTCTGAAGATGGTTGTCATATCACATTCACTAACAACATTACGTAGTTGGATGTCCTATTCATATATAGATGTTTGGATCATTCCTAAAGTTGGGCTCCTAGCGTTAATTTCATGACGCATACTTAGCCGAGAGTATATAGAATGACCTCCGATCAGTAACACATAATTCTTCAAGATATCAACCTGTTTATGTAAGATTATATAATTACACCGTTAGGTAGACTGTATCCGCTGTATTGGTTTGGTATAGACTAGTGGAATATAAACAGCAGGGTTAATTAAAGTATTAAAGTATTCACCTTTATTAGATGGTAGCTAAATGGGGATTTACAAGGTAATATGATCGTAACGTCTACAACACGGGTATTGCAGCTGTGCTGTGGACTTTGGCGACTGTTGTGTGCCCACTAACGTTTCGGTAACGTTTGCAGTTTTTTTTGTCAAATCCAAGTTTCCTTTGCATTTTTCTTATGCCTGCAGTATAATTCATGACCATAAGAAGATATTCATGAGCTGTACACATTATCAGCAATGGAAAAGACAACATAAGATCTCAGAAAAATAGGTTTTCTTTAATTCAGAAAGTGTGACAGAGTCATAATGGTTTTAACACTATTCCTGCAAAATCAAGGTACGAAACATAAGAAATTAGTCTCACACACTGTACCCTTGTAAGGAATCGAACCCGGACCCACCTTCAACATGACGAACGAACGATTTAGCCACTAGCCTACTCAACCGCCTCCCATAGTGAAAACCGTTTACATATCATCATCAGATAATATCATCCTCAGCTCATGTATTACGTTTCTTTACGGAATCTGTCATCGTGAGGAATATTTAAATGTCTCTACTTCAATATATAACTTGTTAAATGTTTGCAACATGCCACCTGATGTATTGAGACAGGCCAAGGCCAGACAGCGTTCCACATTAAACATTGATAGTTATTACATATAGATGCTGATAGTACAGATGACACCCCGTCCCGCTGGGGGTTATCTGAGTGGAACCAGGAATACATCAACAAATCAACATGGATTTTTCTGAATCATGCAGACCTCATAAACGTCATGTTTCACCTGTCTGAAAAATGAGTCGTTAAATGTATTAAAAATGGTTTAAAAAGTTGAACGTCGTTTTTTGTTCATCTTACTGACTGAGTTTGGTTTTACGCCGCTTTTAGCAATATTCCAGCAACATCACGGCGGGGGACACCAGAAATGGGCTTCACACATTGTACCCATATGGGGATTCGAACCCGGGTCTATGGCGTGACGAGCCAACGCTTTAACCACTAGGCTACCCCAACGCCCCTTGTTCATCTTAACACCATAGGGCCGTCAGATAGGCGGTGGTACCAACACGCCGGCAACACCGGGTACGAAACACCTCTGGATGTCATGGAGTGACGTCTTGTAACGCTAGGCAGTCATGTCCTGTTAAATAGGTTTCAGATTTTGACAGCCAGGAGCGTCTCAGGCTTCTTCCGTGCAACGACTGTTACAGATTTCCATAGCATAACACACGACCACGAAGTTCAGGTTTTCGTCCAACGTTTCGGCGTCGTCATCGTACATCACAACTGGCATGCTCATGACAACATCTTTAAGGACTATGGTTTAGACCTCTTCAATCACGAGTAAAAGTTTTATCTGGACAGTAGTAATGGCCGTTAACGTGGTTTTTCGACGTCGGGCGGAACGAGACGCTGACGCGTGTGTTGTTCAACGTTCTGCATTCGACGATGGTAGCGCAATGCTATTATGTTGCATCACTGCAAATCACGGGAATCACAGTATTAATCGACAATGTGACAGGCGTACGGTGGTTGCGTTTACGTTGCACCGACGTCACTGACAACACAACACCCCCAAACTGCCATGAATAGCTGTGACGCCAGATCTGTTGCATATCGAACCGATGAAACGTCGTCTACGCCGACTTCCACACCAACGATGGTCCAGCTGCAAGGCCATGGATCTGACATTCGCAAACCTGAGACACCTTGTATCGTTAACTGTCATACCTGTATCGTTAACTGTCATACCTGTATCGTTAACTGTCATACCTGTATCGTTAACTGTCATACCTGTATCGTTATCTGTCACACCTGTATCGTTAACTGTCATACCTGTATCGTTAACTGTCATACCTGTATCGTTAACTGTCATACCTGTATCGTTAACTGTCATACCTGTATCGTTAAGTGTCATACCTGTATCGTTATCTGTCACTGTCATACCTGTACCTGTCGTTAACTGTCATACCTGTATCGTTAACCATACCTGTATCGTTAACTGTCATACCTGTATCGTTAACTGTCATACCTGTATCGTTAACTGTCATACCTGTATCGTTAACTGTCATACCTGTATCGTTAACTGTCATACCTGTATCGTTAACTGTCATACCTGTATCGTTAACTGTCATACCTGTATCGTTAACTGTCATACCTGTATCGTTAACTGTCATACCTGTATCGTTAACTGTCATACCTGTATCGTTAACTGTCATACCTGTATCGTTAACTGTCATACCTGTATCGTTAACTGTCATACCTGTATCGTATCGTTAACTGTCATACCTGTATCGTTAACTGTCATACCTGTATCGTTAACTGTCATACCTGTATCGTTAACTGTCATACCTGTATCGTTAACTGTCATACCTGTATCGTTAACTGTCATACCTGTATCGTTAACTGTCATACCTGTATCGTTAACTGTCATACCTGTATCGTTAACTCATACATACCTGTATCGTTAACTGTCATACCTGTATCGTTAACTGTCATACCTGTACCATACCTGTATCGTTAACTGTCATACCTGTATCGTTAACTGTCATCATACCTGTATCGTTAACTGTCATACCTGTATCGTTAACTGTCATACCTGTATCGTTAACTGTCATACCTGTATCGTTAACTGTCATACCTGTATCGTTAACTGTCATACCTGTATCGTTAACTGTCATACCTGTATCGTTAACTGTCATACCTGTATCGTTAACTGTCATACCTGTATCGTTAACTGTCATACCTGTATCGTTAACTGTCATACCTGTATCGTTAACTGTCATACCTGTATCGTTAACTGTCATACCTGTATCGTTAACTGTCATACCTGTATCGTTAACTGTCATACCTGTATCGTTAACTGTCATACCTGTATCGTTAACTGTCATACCTGTATCGTTAACTGTCATACCTGTATCGTTAACTGTCATACCTGTATCGTTAACTGTCATACCTGTATCGTTAACTGTCATACCTGTATCGTTAACTGTCATACCTGTATCGTTAACTGTCATACCTGTATCGTTAACTGTCATACCTGTATCGTTAACTGTCATACCTGTATCGTTAACTGTCATACCTGTATCGTTAACTGTCATACCTGTATCGTTAACTGTCATACCTGTATCGTTAACTGTCATACCTGTATCGTTAACTGTCATACCTGTATCGCTTCTAATGATGGTCATGCTGACTTATGAGCCGACAGTTGACCCCATGCTACTTTCAGCTTGAACATTGCAGACTGCATGTGTTGACTCTTCCATGGTGAATCCGTGTTTCACCGACTTGAATAAATATATTGCCCTGTTGCAAAATCAGTATTTGTTTGAGTGTATGTATAATTTACCATGATAGTCAGTGATATTCACGGTCTTGTTTCCACTGGTATATATTGAGCAGATTGAGCAGGACATCTTCTACACTGTCCTTGCACCGTCTTAATGGTTGAGTTCTTCGTGGGAGGGAGGAATCGTTCACAGAACTGAGTACGAACGCATTCCGTTTATCACATGATGTTCACAAGAACAAACATACACATTTCTATGACATAATACTGAGACAATAAAATGTTTTGCAATTATCCTGGTCTGATGAAAGTACAGCGCTACCAGATGATATGAAATGGGGTAGATCCACACAACTACTGAGGCGGTACCGCAGTACCAGAGGTGTGGCGAAGCGGGGTGGATCCATAAAGCTACAGTGCTTTTTTAGCTATGAGCCAATGATAACTAGGGCTGCGCAATATAACCGGTTTACTGGTATTTACCGGTTCAGACATGAAAACGATACGTATTGCGATACGCTGATCGAAAACCGGTATTTTGACATGCATTCGGAAAACTTCGTAACACTCGGAAATCTTCGGATATTTCCGTTTTTTTAA